CAAGCGCCCTCGATCGGATATCGCGACGGCGCCAAGATGGAAAACAAAAGAAATTCATCGTGAAGAGAAAGCAGTCTAGAAGGCGCGATCGTCCCGCAACGAGCGTCAGGAATACCACCCATCGAGAAACCACGGGGATTTAAAGGTGATGGGCGGCGCAGCGAATATCAGGGACCTGCCTAGGTACTTTACTACTGTATGTGCAAGTATTGGCAGGCAACCCATCCGAATGCACCTCTTGCGAAAATCCGGAATTGTGGACTTTGCCATGGCGGGAAGGGAACGAGATGGCTGTCAACCTACATCGTTTTGGCGTTGATAAACAGGAAATATTGAAGGGTCTTGCCCACCATCTCGCGCCACAACCGGGGAGGATGTGCGCGCCGCCTCGCTCATATTGCTCTTCGTGCAGCTCGGAATTGATTGGGGCTTCGTGTTGATATTTTTGCCATTGGATATGAGCGAAGATATCAGATCAAACCGTCCATGATATAACCACACAGGCAAGCCTCCCCCCCTCTTAACCGTACAGTATGGCGTGTTACACCCCCCCGAAGAAGAGAGTCGAACATCCCGCCGCAGCCGGCCGTCGTCTCGCTCCTCGCTCAGCCCGTTTGTTACTCATGCATTGTGACATCGTCCTTTGCCTCGGAGGGCGAAAAACAACAGCCACCTTCTCCCTTGCGCATTTTCCTTGCTTCTTGTCCCCCAATTACACTGGTTCTACGCTTCCCCAGCCGCCTCTCTCGTAACAAGACGTGTTGCTAGCGAATCCATCTGAGATTCCGTTGAGGCCTAAGCGTCCTTGCGAAACACGGCGAGGCTCCCATCCTTTCTTTTTTTTCTCTCTCTCTCTTTTTTTTCCTTTTTTTCTTCTTCTATTTTTGCCCCTCTACGGAGTAGATCGGTGATGAGTTGCATGCCGGGTCCCAGCCCTGATCATGGATCAGTATGGAGGATCGAGGAAATACGTACCCTGTCCGGTCACCGTGGTGGATTCGCGACGATCGCAGCGTCCTTCTAACATGGGGACATGGGCTTGGGCTCTCATTGTGGCTCCTCCGTTTCGTGTCAAAAGCACTTGAGAGAAATCCTGGGGATGTAGGAGTACCTGGGCGGCCGAGACAACGCTGATCAGAGGGCTCAGGTGACCGAATAAGGCAATTAGCTCTTTGTAGCTGATGAAGAGCTCGGCTTTCTTTTTTTTTTTTTTTTCTTTCTTTCTTTCTTTCTTTCTTTCTTTCTTTTTTTTTTTTTTTTTTTTTTTTTTTTTTGGCTGTGGGTTAGTTGTTGATATTACTAGTAGCTGGATTCCATTGGTATTATCATGCAGCCGAGAGATGGCGCAAGGACAAGCGAGCTTCAGCAAGAGAGCTCTTCCTCTTCTCCGTCCTGCTCGACCATCAGGCACACCACTTGGGCAGAGAGCACACAAGAACGTACACGTACACTGCACACCCCTTTGAGCTGCTCGTCCTAGGGGCAGCCGGCCGTCACACCGACTTCGAATTGGCGCCGTCGGTTGGGGGCTGATGGGATCCCAAGCGCATGCTGCCGCTTGCTAGTGTCGCTGCTGTATCTGTTCTCTTTTGCTATCCCGTGCTGCTATCTATCACAGGACTGCAACTCTACCATCGACGACCGGTACTTGTACATGCCCTTTTCTGCGAGCCCCGACAACAGACGGCGCAGCAAGGACGAGGGCTGGGAAGAAACGGAGCTAACGCCGGTCAGGCAGTAAGCATCTCATCCCGTCCTTCTAGTAGAGTGTTATCAAAGGGTGTCATACTTCACTCTTCCGGCACACACACACACACACACCCCTCAGAGAAACTCCTTACCCTGCTTCCGTTATGGTAATATTACGTTCCCCAGGAGAGTAGGGAGAGTACGGTACGAATCTAGTAGTACCGTACATATGTAGTCATCTTTGCCAGCATGCTTTCCCCGCACTTTGGAGATGCAAAGTTGCAGACTCTAAATTGCAGAAAATGAAGCTATTGCCACTCCTCTGCATGGTTGGCGTAAAGGCAAAATAGCGAATAGACAACCGGCTGCAGCATTGGTGCGTTTGATTGCTTCAGTCGAATGGTCTCGCCAGGTCCAGGCTTGCTTTGGCGAGCCGACGCCACGCTGATGCGACCTGGACGAAACGGCTCACAGGCATCTGGTTCGTGTTGCCGTATTTAGATGTTTGACGATTGTTGGAGTAGTTGGCTTATTCTTTACGTACTCCAACCAGTTCATACTCGTAATACTACTACCATGCAACAAACGTGTTGCCATTATCCTGTCTACCCATGCCTGACCGTTCCGCCGCCGCTTATAAGAGCTACATAGGAGCTATCTCCAAGGCATGGGCGAGCAGAAACGGAGCGTGCATGTTCACACTTCATTACCCCAACATGCATCCAACCCCACCGGCTGCCGGTGGTGGATGAATGATGGTCATATATTCGAGCGTATATTGGCATCCCTCCCATCTTTTAACGAACGGGCGTCAACCGGATTCTCAAGGCGGGAAAGGAGGTGAGAGGGGGTGGAGGGGAGGGGGCCCTTAGCCAAAACAATTGCAGGAGTCGGGCAGTCGTGCTTTTTGTTCGTTTCGAATAGCTTCACTTCCATTCGTTAACTCGTTTTCTTTGCGCTCACGAGCAATTCCAACGGGTAAATCCATTGCATTGCGACAACTACCGTGACCGAGTCTTCTTTGGTTCGCCTTTTCGCTTATGCTGACTTTGGGATGACAGATGGGCGACGTCATTAGAAAGTGCCCAGACTCTAAGCTGAGAGCGGCAGGTCGCGATAACGGGCAGCATTTCGAATCATCTGACGAGCAGCTGGAGTCGTGCAGCAGTCTGTTACAGCCCGTCCCTTACGATTGTATGCCCTTTTGTTAAGGCCATGTGCCTCCGTCAGGTAGGTTTTCAGGGAGGGCCTCGCCCGGAGCCGATTATAGTCAGGATGGGGAAAAGCAGGGGACTCCAAGGCAAAATCGGTGGGTTTCCGCCTTGTCCTGGTCGGCCAACTCAGACATACATACATACATGCGTGCTTGGTACATTCCTATCCCTCTTGACCGCTACTCTCCTTGTGGCTTCGGAGGCAACATGAACGCTCGCATCCGTCCTGGACCTGGAGCGGCTTACACGTCTTGTCCCCTTCTGGGAAGAAGAAAAAGACACGACATTGTGCCCAGCGGCGTACTTGTCCAAATGGCCGTTACCCGACACCAGCACGAGCATGTATCGTTTGCATGTTTGCGGCTCCATGTTGGGTATATACGGGCAATACTGCAGCATGGGGTACTAGTACTAGTAGCAATGATAGGCCTCGTTTTGCATCCTCACCCTGCATCTCTTGTCAGTTCCAGGTGCTTGGATTAGGACTCCCCTTCAATCGCACATCAATGCATGTCCTCATTCTGGGGTGCGGCACTGGCGGCTTTTCCCTTCCTCCCTTTGCACTTTATCATACGCTCCCTCGAGTGCGTTTACGAGCTGCGGGCGTGACGTGCGTGACGTTTGGGCGATGCGTTTAACTGAAGCCGTCGGGGGGTTTAGGCTGGCTGGCTGGTAGGTGCATGTATGTAGTCGCGAGGGTTTATGCTTTCCGGGGGGTATGCATTACCCGTGTCTGTCTTTAGATATATATCTTCTCTTTCGGTTTAGGTTCAAGACAATGGACAAAGTAGCAGTACGAGAGCTCGAGACCATGCATCCGCTGGCTAGCACATACCTACCATGAGGGTACATATTCTGAGAGAGGGTTTCGAGTCAGTCAGTGCTCAGAGTTTCGCATGGAGATGGTTCCCCAGAAAGCTTCATCCTCTAACCGACATGACAGCTGCGGAGGGATGGGATAAGGTTGGCAGAATTGCTGCACAGGTCCGGGGTTCCGTGCAAGCAGACCACTTACAACGCCGTCTTGCTATGCTCATGTCGTTCTCGTGGGGATGAAAGGAAAACGTCTAGTGACGCGCTCTGTTTGTCATTGAGAGGTATAGGCTTGGAGAACGTGGAAGAATCGGTGACGTGTCGAGTCTCCGGCATGCTCGAATGGTTCCATCTTCGAAAATCGATGGCCTTCGAAGATCGACAACCTTCCATCTTCTATTCCTCGGTCGACTTTTCTCTTGCCAGCTCATCGCTTTTCATGAAGCGCTGATCTCGCTTGGTCGTCCCTTCCCGAGCTTCGACTTCGTCTGTCTGATGGATGCTCGAGCCAGCAGACGTTGTGGCCTTTTGCGAGTTGTATGGTAAGGTAGTTAGGGTTGCGACGGCGTCCGGTCAAGCTGGGGAAGTCTCTGCAGCAGACCGGAGCTGATAACTCACAATTCAAATTTTCTGACCTGTTCGCCTAGGTATATATCCCGGCTGAAAGCCGCCACTGCATCACTCCATGCAAAGCTGCATCGTGGCGTGACAGGGAATGACATGACATGGCATGGCATGGCATGAAGTTTGAATAGCATGTGCAATGGCGGGCGTACGTATAACCGGTACCATCCCATCGTGTGACGGATTGGACAATGACCATCTTTTTCAATTCGAACTTTGAAACCGTATCTGAAGTCGTGCAAGCGGAGCTCCTGCTCCTTTGCTTGCTTCGTACATACGGAGTCGAGTTCCACGACTACTAGCTTCAGATCTCAGCGTATGGGTTGGATCTGCGAAGGAAAGGGGACCGATCATTTACCACTGTGCTGCTGGTCTCGTAAGACCACCTCTATGTGTTGAGTCCTGATAACGACAGTCTCCCGCCTGAACCGTGACATGGACCTGATGCTGAACCAATTCTGGCGGAGTCAACGATATGACACGGGGCAACAGGATTTAAAGCAGCACTTTATTCAGGCAACTATGTAACTTCTGCTTCCCATCATTGTCACATGAGTCCGGCTGCCTCACGAAACGCCAACTCTTTGGGTATCCAGATGCTCTAATTTTTGTCTCTTGTCCAAAGAAAAACAGAATCGAAAAAATGGTGAAGAATGCCGCTCAGTCATCGTGAACGGGAGGGCCGGCATAGTTCTTGTTGCCCCAAGCCCAGTACCAGATGCCGGAAATGACCGTCGCGGCCACAAAGACAACGGGAGCATAATTGACCGTCTGGGCTGTGACGGGAATAATCGTCGGCATGCAGAAAAGCGGCAGGGCAAGCAAGGACCAGGCTGTCCGAAGCATCAGTAAAAGTTTTCATAACCCATGACGGAAAGGAAGAAGCCCAAGGGTCACATACCAACAGTGATGACATTGCAGAAAGCACCTAGCTGGCCGAGGTAGAACTTGCCCTTGCGAACCTGCTTTCTCCCGCTGAGCAGACTGATAGCAACGGGCGTTGCATATGCAGCCGTCAAGCAAATGACGCCAACGCCGGAGAAGGCATTGAAGGCTGCAGTAGAGCCAAAGTATATGACTCCGAGGATGATTTGCACGGCCATACTGAGCATCATGGCGTTGAGCGGCACGTCGAGGGTCTTGTTGACCTTAATCCACCATTTGGACCCAGGAATGGCGCCATCACGAGCAAAGGCCCACGTGCAGCGAGACGCGGCAGTCGTACAGCCGATGCCACAGATGACAGCGAGGACCATGATGGGGATGAGGAGACCAATCGCGCCGCCAGAAGATCCCACGGCGGATTTGATGATGGGAGGCACGGGCTGGCCGGAGGCGAGGGCGGCAAGCATACCGAGATCAGGGAGAACGAAGACGAGGGGGATGAGGAAGAGGAGGCCGGCAATGGTGTTGAAGAAGATGGTGACGACCATGGCCTTGGGGACCTGCGTAGCGGGATCTTTGACCTCCTCACACATGCTGATATCTGTCAGTTGCAGGTTCGAAAACCAGACCTTGAGTGCAGGCAGCATCAACTCACGAGATGATCATTCCAGTCGAAGAAGTGGCATAGGCGGCGTGAAGGAGACCGACACAGAAGGACCAGCCACTGGGCCAACCTGAAAAGGACTCGAAGTGGCCAAACACCCACTTGGCCTCGTGCCGGCCGTCTTTGGCAATGACGAGGACGCTGATGAGGATGGCAACGACGCCGGCAAAGGTCCAGAACACAGCAGCAGTCTTCAGAAAGTTAGCAAGTTGTTGGTTTTACATAATGATAACCGCAAGACGCAAGGAGGCATGCGGCATAGATGCCTATACCATTCCTATTGAGGTCTCCACGGTTCTTGTTCAGGAAGCGAGATGCCGAGGGGGGAAGCAATACTCACATCCAACCAAGGAAGCCACTTGTTGCCGAGAGCCGATACAGCATTGCAAAACAGCGTCAGAGCCAAGAAGATGAGGAACACCTGCCAAGTTTCGCCCGCAAAGATGCCGACGCCGGGCTCCTTTTCGAACACGTTGATGCAGGAGACGAAAAACAACGTGCTGCCAAAGTTGACCGCCAGGGTGATGGTGATGTTGCCGACGACAAAGAGCCAACCGGTGATCCAAGACGCAATGCGCCGCCACTTGGGGGATGCCAACATGAAGGCTTGATAGTATACGCCTGGAGAATGGTAAACTTTAGCACGCGCGCATTCAACAATGTGCGGATTGGGCGCAGGAAGAGTTGGTTACCTCCGGCCGTGGGATAGACACTGGTAATTTCCCCCAGAGACGCCGCGACGCAGACAATGATCAATGAGACCAAAACCCAGCCCCAGATAATGTCTACCGGGCCACCTCCTACCAAGGGATAGTATAGCGTCGTGGCGAGACCGTACGGGATTGAGGCGAGGACGAAGGACATGAATGCGACCTGTGCCGTGGATCGGTTGCGCGACAGTTCGGGGGTGTACCCCAGCGTCTCGAGGAGGTGGTCGGCCGAATCCTCGACATTATCAAGGCGCTGGTGGCTCTCGAGCTTGGAGTCGACGACAGCCGGGTCGCCCTTCGGCTTGTTGGCTGCGGAGGAGGAAGACATGGCGGGCGAAGAGGAGGGTAGGGGAAGAGGACGCTTAGGTGGAGAAACGCGATGACGAGGGTATCATGAACGGTAGAGGAGGGGAGAGGAGGGGAGAGGAGGGGAAGGGTAGAGGGGAAAGAGAGAAGAGAGAAGAGAGAATAGTGAAGAGAGAAGAAGTTAAGAGGTAGAGGAGAAGAACAGATGAGGCTGGAGTGTGGTCCAAGTGAAAATGCGATAGTAGATTGTTGAGAACGCTTCCACAGTAGCGCCGGGGGCTCATGCAAGTAAGCAGTGCAACCGGGATGCTGTCATAGTACGTTGTAAACGAGCTGAGGGTTCGTGCCAATCAATGCGACCTAGGCCGCATCCGAAGATTGTCGCGTGCCCGAGATAAAGCTGGAGCTGCTGGAGGTAGCAATAGACCGCTACGCTGATGTATGATGAATCTATCAAGATGGCATATGATGAGCACTGTTCGAGAAGAGGCTGTCGCTTCGAGATGGAGGATGACGAGGAGGAGACAGGAGGGAAGAAGAAGAGTCCCAAGTTTTTGCAGAGGAGAGAAGGGACGGCCCAGAGAGCGTTAAAAACCTGCAATTGGAAGGACGTGATTGGGCGGCGGGGCCTTGGCCAGATTCTAGGGACAGTATTTGATCGTTGCGCTAAGGTACAGTAGAGATGGACAGAGCGACAAAGTTCCTGGATGTACTACTGCTGGTCGGTTGGCACGATAGTACTCTTTTGGCCGACTGTTGGACGATCCTCGCCGTCTCATTACTCGCGACAGCCTGGAGAAAAGCTGGAGTGAAGTGCCTAGCCTCGCTCTCATGGTTCCGTGAAACCACAAGACATTGTCTCTGCTTCCCCCAGAATCCGCACGTGTGGATACGCATCTTCGACCTGAATTTCCCACGAGAGATGGAAACAGAAGGAAAGAAACCACCATCATGGGCGTCTTTCTGGCTGGGGTTTAATGCAATGGATCAGTTGATATCATGGCGCCGCCGTTCCCCAGGCTAGCAGCCGGCCTAGACTGGATTCATCAGGGGGAGGCGAATTGGGGCGCTCCAGCGGACGCTGAGTGGCTGTTGCCGGTCCTCGTTAGCGGTTTGAAGACATACTCGTCCATACGAGTACTAAGTATTGTAGTACGGATGTTGGCTTGGTAGGTTCAGAGGCGGGTGGTGACAGTTTGACCGAAGCCCTTCGTAGTTCGACACCTACGTCAGGCAAGCGACATCTCGGAAATCTAGAGCCGGGCTTGGTCGACAGACGAAGGATTGTCTGTCAGTTGTCTCATGTTTTTTCCAGAAGGGAAATCTCAGGCTGGTGCAATGCAGGGCGCCATGCAGGATCTACATGCAATTAGGCTGCTGACGAGTGGCGGATTGATGCAGATTACCAGATCGAGCCAGTCTTGATGCGTCTAGGATTGGCTGTTGGGTAGGGCAACGCGCGCAGTCCTGCAATATACGCCGCAAAGCCGGCAACATGTAATTGGCTTTGCCTTGCCGTAGTACTACTATGTATGGCTCGAGTGGGATTATGCATCTATCCGTCGAGAAAAAGACGAGCAGACGAGCAGACGAGCAGACGAGCAGACGAGCAGACGAGCAGACGAGCAGACGAGCATCATGCACAGAAGGAAAATGTCACCGGCAAAAAAGAGACCCGCAAGCACATGCAAATCTCGACGCCGAAAGTCGAGGCCTCAGGCCACGGCATTGACGCTAAGCCGCAAATGGCCGTCGCTCGGTGGACCGTTTAGGAGATATTGCACTCATATACGCGCTAGACCGAAAGCGGCATGGGCGCTTGGTGATGGCTGGATTCAACAAAAGCCGGCGAGTAAAAGTTCTCGATGGGACGCGATAGAGATGCCGTTTATTGTCTGGCAAACATTATTACAGCCAACGGATTCTAATACTACGTGGATGATGCGTTAATGGCGGTACCGACATGTCGGAGAACGGTATTGGAAGGGAATCACCTGTCACTTCATTGCCTTGCAGGGACTCAGAAAGCAGATACGGCAGATGTCCACCATCTTGACGACGGACTTGACATGAGTTTGAATCACGTACCTTGCTTGGTATTGCCTTGCCTTACACTCTCCTTGCTCACTTGGCTATCAGTACCTACTCTATATCCCATCTATTCACCGCATATCTGACTTTCGACACGGCGAGACGGCCAAACGGCCAATCCACATTAGCCCGTCCCGTTACGCTATCTGTGAATGACAAGACATGGTCCATCAGAGTCTAGACGTGGGATAATCTCCGCGTCGTCTCGACCCATTTGTTCTGTCCACTCCAACGACACCCGCGGCTTGCTCGCTTGCACGCCTCGCCTGCGATTCAAGTTGCCTTACCTTGAATCCTCCGCCTGTATCATTCCCATACGTGATCTTGCGCCAGAACTACCTGTTATCCTGCTGTTCCTTTTCTTCCCATTTCGTTATCTGGACTTCAGGCAAAGATTGACCAGCTCTCATACCTTATATACGCGTGCTCTGGCTTGTAATCGTGTCATCGCCATGCTTTCAAACGAAGTACTAGTCACGTATATATATGTAAGGAAGTCTATATCGATATCCAGCTTTTGGCCTTAGCCTCGCAATCTATATTCATCTATTCATTCCCTCTCCTCTTCCCCCTCTCCCCACCTTTCCGATTTCTATGGCGCATCACTTTTGAACCCCCCCTCCCGATCAACCGCGTCCCCCATTGTAATCGGCGCCGCCAGACTTCCGCAACAGCTTCACAAGGTCATCCTCCCTCAGCTCTGACCGCTCCTCTGCCGTAATCGCCAAATGGTGGTGCTGCAGCGCCTTCTTGACGTCGCCGCTCTCAACGCTGACGCGCGCCTTGCGCATCACCTTTGTGTTCTTGCCGATCCACACGACCAGCACGAACTTGACGCGCGTGCTCTCCTTGTCGTTTGCGTACTCGATGCGCACGTAGCCGTACTGCACCTGCCCGTCGTCCAGCGCCTGCACCAGCTCCTCGAGCCCGCCGCTGCCCGTCTGCGTCAGCGTCAGCTTGTTGCCCACCGGCGCCGCGTACGACAGGAGCATCCAGTTGGTGTCCTTCTTGTCGTTGCGCACATCATCGTATGCGGCCACGATATCGGGGGCGTCGAGACCAGACATGGCTGCTGCTGCTGCGCGCGTGTGTCTGGGTAGTGGTGCGGAAGAGGGGAGCAGAGTTGAATAGGTGGGTGACTGAGTGGCACAGCAGGAACTCGGCACGATCCGGATTCCAAGAATAGGGGTCTCGGGGGCGTCGGTTCTCGAATTCGAGGAGCACGTGCGAAACTGGGAACACCTGCAGTTGGAAAAGACAGCAGTCGGTTGTTAGCAATTGATTCAAGGCGGGTTGCGTTCCTGTCGACTGCGGTTCATCCCGCCGCTTGTCTCGAACTTTGCTTCTGCCTTCATGTTCCACTTACCTTGCAGACAGGCCGGATGGCGTATTCAAAAGGTTGGGAGAGCGGAAAAGGGCGGGGAAGAAATCTGGCTTATCACCAAGAGCCTCCACCGTAGCCCCTTTCTCCAGCTAATCGATACATGCTAGCCTGCGCAAGGCCTACCCTAGAGCCTGAGATAGAAAACCCCCAAAGAAAGAGGGGGGGGGGGGGGGGGGGGGGGTCGGATCTGAGAAGGAGGGAAATGCGCCCTTTGCAATCGAATGACCATTTTTGGTCTATGAAAGTCCTTCCTCTAACAGGACGGGTCCGCGAGTATTACCCTCGTTAGATGAGGATAACTCTCGTCATGCGACCAGAAATTTGCAACTCTTGCTTCATCGCCCTACTTCCCCCTAGCGTTACCCTACGATTCCGTAACATTGCCAGTTACGAAAGCATGTATCTACAAAACAAATAGGTTGTGACACAAGCCCAACTACATATGCTCAATCTACCTTAACTTGACGAACTCCTCATTTGTTTCCTTGTTGTTTGGTATCTTGATGAATGCTGTTCCCCAGCAGAATTCAATCGCCATGACTTCAGATCCCCAGCACCAGAGCCTCATCCCATCTCAGTGTAGGTCCCGGGCGCCTAATTTCTTTTTCTACGAATCTTCATCAAAGAAGCTATGATTCTTTCACTGCATTCTGTACCATTTCCCAGCATTTGCGCATTCCCGTTCCCATCGACTCTGCATCAACCTGACCACTGGCCACCCACCGTCTTGGCTGCTCTTTGTCATCTGCCACCTCCGCATCTTCGCCCACTTCGAACAAGAACACATGCATCGTGAGCTTAATGTGCGAAAACAACCAAGGCACACTGCCAAGCTCTCCCCCGCAAGATATCTTGGTCTTTCTCTTCCTCCTTTCTTTGCCACCATTCACCAGACTTGACACATATGCTGTAGCAAGCTGCTCTCGCTTGCCCGTATCCGGTTTCGTCGATGGCCCCAGCAGTTGACTCGGGAATTCCCAAAGTCCAGCCAGAAGACCCTTGAGTGGCCGGCGGTGAATGAGGTAGTGGCCGTCGCTTCGGCGGATCGCGCAGACAAGCGTTTCTTCTTCACGGACGGCCTTTTTGATGACCTTGACGGGGAATCGGCGGGCGTGGCTGGTGATGATGTTCATGGTGGCCTTGGAAGGGGCCCCAGACGTCGCTGAAGGAGAGGAAGAGGATGGAGCGTCTTTGGCGGGTTTCCTCGTAAACGCAAACGCTGCCAGTGTTGCTTGCTTGCTCTGCCTTACCTCTGCCTTGTTGGTGCGGTTCTTGCCTTGGGTGGAGTCGTCATCACTGCCTCCTGCGCTGTCATCAAACGGTTCACAGAGGATACATGCTGCGTCCTCAATGTCCGCGATCGTCTTGAGCGTCTCCCTTGGCTTGCTGGCCTTGAGCTCGCCCTCCTTATAAACGCGACACGTAGAGGTAATCGGACACTGAGAGCAATCAGGGTTCGGGGTGCAGATGGTGCTGCCCAGCTCCATCAGCGCCTGGCCCCAACGGCCCGGTCGGTCGTTGGGTTCGCAGCTTGTCTCGCCATTGGGGCTGTCCAGCTCAGACGTCGCTTTCACCATGGCATCTGCCGCTGCCCAGATGGCATCGATGACGGCTTTGCCCGTCTTGATGTTGCCGTGTATGCCCAGCTGCCTGCTCAACACTCGCAGCACGTTGCCGTCGACCATCGGTTCCGCGCGGCCAAATACGATGCATGAGATGGCACCAGCAGTATATCGCCCAACGCCGGGGATCTTTGCGTCGAGGTCCCTTGCAGAGGACGGCAAGAGGCCCCTCATGTCTGGGTCGCCAACGACACGCTTCGCCGCTTCATGTATCCTTGTGGCGCGGCTGTAGTATCCAAGCCCACTCCACGCGGACAGGACATCCTCCGGCTTTGCAGCTGCCAGATCATGAATCGTCGGCCACTTGGCCATCCAGCGGCTCCAGTAGTCAATGACGACGGCCACGCGCGTCTGTTGCAGCATAATTTCGCTTATCCAGACCTCGTACGCACGTATCTCGAGCGTCTTACGGAGCTCGGCCGGGTCTGATATCGTCTGGGGGTCAACCCACGCTTTCCTCCATGGCATGGATCGCGATTGGCTGACTGAGTCAAACCACGAGAGCAGCGCCTTGCGGCCCTGAGAACCAACTCGTTCGTCCAAGAGGAGTGGTCTGTGGTAGAGAACGGAGTGCTGGCGCAATGGCGGGAGACATGCTTCCTCTTTTGTCGCTTCCCTGGCTTCCTGCGCGAAGAGACTTTTGGAGAGAGCGCTGTCGAACTTGACTGAGCGTGATGAAGCGGAAGCCGTTGAAGTCGCCGTTACCTTTCGCCTTTTACTGCCGGCTCTTTCTGGTGGGCTGTCGTCGTCCGGGGCCTCAAAGTCGGAGCCGCTGCTTGACGCGGCATCTTGCGGTTCTGATGAGCGTGATGGGCGTGATGACGCTGTTTTGGTCGCTACTGAAGACTTTCTCGCGAGCTGCCTTGAGCGTTTTGTCGCAGGCATGATCTGGGTGACGGGGAGTTGAGTCGGCAATCTATCTGGCCGAAGATCGAGTGGATGGATCGCGTCTTGATGTCGCGCCACGCACGGACCATGTCTATCTGACGTCCAATCCGAAATATGTATGTGTCACCTCATCACCATGCGCGTTATTGGAGTATTACTAGTAGTATGCATCTTGCCGATACCGCCATTTTGATCTCATCTATGGTTGAGTTATGCATGAAGTAGGCAGTGAAGGAAAGAAAAACTATAAAAAAAAAATTGGAGAAAAATCACTATCATTTGACCGCTTGAAGTGCAAAGATTGACGGGTCAAGGCTCGGAATGAAGCTACCAATAGAAATCCAATGGTCATACACACGCGAACGCCTGTCGCGTTCAAAAGCCGAGCATCATGGCCGCAATAGACACCGCGGCCGGCACAGCCTGAACAAACAAAATCTTCCTGCTCGCCGTCGCCGCACCATAGACGCCAGCCACTCCCACGCACCCCAGGAAAAACAGCCTGATTTGCGCCGCAAACTCCTCCACCGGGTGCCCAAGCCCCCAGAAGAGCCCTGCGGCCAGGAAGCCGTTATAGAGGCCCTGGTTGGCCGCCAGCACTTTCGTCTTGGTGGCAAAATCGGGGGCCAGTTTGAAGGCCTTGTGGCCGCGGGGGGTGTCCCAGAGGAACATTTCGAGGACGACGATGTAGACGTGGATGGCTCCCACAGCGCCGGTGGCAAGTTTGGAGAAGAGAGGCATCCTTGTTGGTGTCTGATTGCTCTATCCCCGTGTCTAGGCTTCTTTTCCAGACTGTCAATTAGAGCTGGCTAATATGTGACCAGACCCCGGGTGATTTTGGTAAGCTGAGAGAAGATTGCTTCAGCTGGTGTAATGTGGCTCTCGGGTGTTGAGTTGAGTTGAGACTCGCAAGCGGTGGGTCTTCGTGAGCTTCGTGGCGCGCCGCTTTGCATCTGATTGCGAGTCGAGACCTGGCAAAGCGGTAGAGAGGTTCAGTTTGTGATCAACCTCGATACTTTATGTCATGTCGTGTATGTACGGGAAACGGACTTGTTTTGGAGTGTGTACTCGTATGCGGATTCTACTCACACGCAACGCTGAGATTTTGGTTCCGCTTTGTCGGACATGGCGGCTTCATCTTAACTCTATGCGGAAGCTTCATGATCCCTGTCCTACTCTCGCTCCTTCAAACAACAACACGGCGGGGCAAATCTCACTCTGGAGGCGGATCAGCTAGAGTATAGTAAAGGGAAAATAGGGCATAGTTGCTCCGGGCTCCGGCAGCGAAGCGTAGATGCCGAGGCATTTCTCTGTAGGGAGATGGGCTTGCCTTACCTTAGGCACAATGATGACTGGATGCCGCAATTTTTGTATGCAAAGACCTGGCAACCCAAATGCATGCCTATGTGATTGCTTCAATGTAGGCATGAGCCAGGATGCGCAGTCCGTCGACCTTGGCACAGGGCGCACTGATATCGGGATTGCAATGTCCAACTTTGACTGCCCGAATTCAAGCATTTAGCCGGCCCCCAAACACCTGAGAGCTGCTGGAGTGGCCCAGCCTTAGCTTAGTTGCCTACTGATCATGAGCTTGGTGCACCAACAAGTATCATCATGATTCAGGCGATTGTTCCAGCCATACGCATAGGAACGTCTGGAGAATGAATAAAGAAACTCATCGTGAATGGAAAGGTTTGGGTTCGTTGTTAATAACCTTGCTCGGACTGCAGACATGAAGAGCACCCGAGATGAGCTGTCACTACAAAAGTAAGCGTGAACTCGCCTGTTGGACCCCTCGCAGATTCGGCTGAAGTAAGCTTGCGTTGCAACAAAGCTTATGTGCAGCTGGACTGGCGCGGAGCTATCCAATCGAGGTGTCACTCTCCCAAGGAGACACCACAAAGAAGTGAGGCTAGACGTAAATATGCTGACGCCTGGCGGATGCCATCCGACTGAATGCTCTGATGTGGCATTAATCGTGTAAGGTGAAGAATGTAGACAAAGCAAGGGCCGTATAAGGCGAAGTCAGAAGATGAGGGAAGACAAGGCGAATGAGAGGTCGGATGGGAGTAGACCATGGCCGAATTCGCCCACTTTCTCCTACTCATCAACTTCTGAAAGACTCAATCTTAGCCTTGTCAGAGAGCTCTTTTGGTGCAAACAATCTTGCAATGCAACCCCATGATTGTGTGGGGGACCAACCGCAAGGCGCGGCCAGGATATTTCCTCGCCGGACATTCATCAGGATGTCTTATTAGCCGTGTGCGGGGAAAACCACAAGAGGAGTTCACGAAAACAAAGAGCAGTCACGACGGCACCCATACTTCAGCTCTTAATGGTGAAAGTATTATAGCAAAGGGCGTGAATGAGCTTCAATACTCTAGAGAGCTCCATGTGGAATCCCAAGGTAGCATCCGATGTAGCTAAGCCTATCTCAGGCCATCAACATGGCTTTCGAGCTTGTTCTCAAGTAAGAATAGCTTTTGAAAACAATTGTAGGACATGCTATGGAATAGGATATCGCCTTAAGTGGCTGTGGGGGGGATCCCTAACGCCTCTTCCTGCCCGCCCTTTTCATGGGATTCATGGCGGCATTCGTGGGGGGTCGAAGCGCAAGGTCAGGCCTCTGAATGGAACGTTTTGACTGGGAAATCTTTTCTTAGGTACGACTGCTGACGTTGAGATACGAATCGGGGAGAGTTGTGTCAAATGGTGTCTGGCAACGTTTGGGTGATATTACACGGGGGTTTGGTTCGGCGGGGTTTATCACGGGATGTCTGCCGAAGAGATACAGTTGGCAGTGTTTGGTGTTCAAGGCACATAGATAAGAGAGGGAGAGAGGTACGAAGTAGAGATCCTGAACGCGTGTTATCTGGAAGAGGAGGTGGGAAACGCACGCAGATAACAATGGTGGGCGCGTGGACATTACGATCAGGGTGTAGGCAGTACTAGCAAGGAGATGATAAACCTGGACACCATGAATGAGGGGGTCGGACTTAGTATATCATGACTGCACTGTAAGAAAAGCGAGCTGATCAATGACAGTGATACTGTAGTTGGCGCAGAGGCGACCAGTCCCATTTTCATTGCTGCATCGGAACACGCCTCTTCTGACTGCTTCGTGCTCTTGTTTGCCGCTTGAAAAGTGAGACGGTGAAGCCAGAGGATACAGACAATCTGATATGCCTAGGTGCCCTGTGCAGTACCTAGGCGCAATCAATCACAAAAAGTAGCTTCCATCAAAGCGGCAGTGATGCCGAGGTGCTTGTTACAAGTGCAAAGTAAAAGAAAACCGACATTGAACGCGCACTGGCATACAAAACAGGAGGGAATGACAGGAAGCCTGCTTTCCAATCCACATTCACACAGGCTCGGTGAAACTGACCGTCTTTGCGTTGGGGGTCAGCCGCCGAACCGCGTGAAAGACCAGTAAGCTCCGAACCATGAACATGCAGACTCCTACAGGCAACTGCTCGATATCACTGTACGACATCCGTCCCTGAACAATGTGGCCGTGGCTGAGCAGTCTAGTTCTTCTCCTCTTGCATTCAGGAAACACCATTCGAGCCCTCCTAGAACAGCTTGATGCATCCACGCAGTTGTCAATATATATCATCTTATTGGAGATTTCTGGATGAAGAACTGGTAAAATGGCCGCCTGAACGTTGCTCTGTAAAGACGAATTGACGCTGATCATATCATAACCTTCAAGGAAGCCGTATACGGTACTGTGTATGTACAGTGTCTACCTACCTTACCTACCTACCTAGGCAAGCTACCTTAGGTATGTACGTGCCCTTCCTTGCCCCGTCTCCCCGCGTCTCCAAAACGGCTTGCCGCCGCTAGCCTGCAGCTCAGTGACCGAAGTGCCTATTGATTTCTGGCGCTCGGTGGGGGAACAGAAAATGGGGGAAAAGGCGGAGGCACCCATACTGTAGAGATTCGTGTGGCACCTCTTCTGGCTGGCCCTCCCCCCTGCTCTCCAGAGACACTTCACAGACAAGAAGATGGCCTTCCTGTCATAGTGCCACGCCTTAGTAGACAAGTGCGGTTGGTGATTGATTGGATCCTTGTTGGTAATTATGTATGGCCTCGTGCGACTCGGAACCTTGGTTGCATACACTTGTCCTGATATGGGATTGCGCCTCGTGGCTCTGGTTACGTGGAGCATGTTGAATGAGTTTGACTTGATTGCCGCAGTTCTGTGTGTCTGTCACTAACACCGGGTACCTATTGCCTGTGTATGCTGGATGTGCGCGAACCATAAAAAGATCTTGGCCCGCCGTCAGTATTGCCGCCTCCCTTCCGTCCACCAGCCTCCCCCCTCCCTTTGCCTCTCCTCTGCCGGCATCCGGAGACGCTGCTGTGTGCAGTGTCAGTAGCAGGTCGATACGCCACGGGCTCTCAAAAGACGAGAAATAAGCAGAAGAAGCAGGGACAGCTTCCAAAGGCAAAAGCGACGACACAAACCAGAGCAATGGCGGAAAAGGACGAGTCGCGGCCCGAGCCGGTCATTGACCATGGCTCGATCAACGGTGACACCGTCGACAAGACAGCCATTGGCAGCGTGACCGAGGTGCAGGGAAACACTCACTACCACGAGACGGTCACTTCGGCGCCAATGGATCCCTGGTCGCGGACAAGCATCCAGCTGTACTTTATTCTGCTCGTGGCAGCACTGAACGCGACGTCGTCGGGTTTCGACGGTGTAAGTGAAGAAGAAGAAGCAGAAAACCAAAAATACCGAGGCATCATGGCTTACCCTCTTGCAGTCGATCTTCAGCTCCATCAATGCCATGGATCAGTACAAGGCATACTTCCACCATACCGAGCTTGGTTCTGCCACCGGAATGTAAGTGTTACTCCTTCTGCCAGAAGACTCTCTGAAAGCTATTATATGAAGCGTTGTCTTACGCGAGCCCTTTTCGTAGCATCTTCATGATCTATACCATCGGTAACATGGTCGGCTCTCTCTTCACCGGACTAATTTGCGACCAGTGGGGTCGTCGAGCCGGTATGATGGCGGGCTCCCTCTTCATCATGGTTGGTGCCATTGTTCAGACTGCCTCCAAGTCGGATGCCTACCTGCTCGGAGGCCGTTTCGTCTTGGGATTCGGCGTCTCTATCGGAACCTCGTCTGCGCCCACATACGCCCTTGAGCTAGCTCCCCCCCAGTGGCGAGCTCGTGTCGTTGGTTACTACAACACCTGTTAGTAGAGCGCTTTACCCAGTTCTCATAGATTTCTACTTCGGTTGTTAAAAGGCTGACCAATGCCGCAGTCTTCTATACCGGCTCCATCCTCGCTCTTGGCGTCGCCTATGCCGCCGCGAAGAACAACAGCACCCTCGCCTTTCGCCTTCCCATGGGTCTCCAGCTCGTCCCTCCGTTCTTCATCTTCATCGGCGCGCTCTTTATCCCTGAATCCCCCCGATGGCTCACCATGTGGGGAAAGAAGGAACAGGCCGCTGCCATCCTGGCCAAATATCACGGAGGCGGCGATATGAACCATCCCATGGTCCAGCTCGAATTGCGTGAGTTTGAGGCCTCGATCGAGCTGCAAAAGGCCTCGAGCGTCTGGGACTACTGGGCACTGATCAAGGACCACAACGCTCGTTGGCGATTCACCATGATGGCTTTCATGTCATTCTTCGCCCAGCTGTCCGGAAACTCTGTTCTGACCTACTATCTGCCCTCCATGTACAAGCTTCTCGGTATCGTTTCGGTTGAGCGCCGTCTGTTGCTGTCCTTTGCTAACGCCATTGTTTCCTGCGCCGGCGCTGTTGCTGGTTCTGCGACTAATGACAAGATTGGTCGCCGTACCAAGCTCTGGACCGGAAGTCTTATTCTTGCCAGTCTGTTCGGTGCCGTCACTGGATTCTCTGCCAAGTTTGAGCACGGCTCGGATGGCATCAGCACGGCCTTTTCCAACGGTGGTGTAGCCATGGTCAGTATCCATCAGCTTGTTAATCAAGAGCGGCAGCGATTTATGCTAATTGTGCTCAATAAGATCTTCCTCTTCGGCTGTGTCTACTCCTTCGTGTACACTCCTCTGACTGCCACCTACTGCGCCGAAGTTTTGGCAACTCCTACCCGCGCCAAGGGTATGGGAGTCGTAAGTTGAGTCCCGGCTTTACGCCGCCATTTATGTCATGGACTTTGCTTACCTTGCTTGTTTACACTCTCAGCACGTCATCATGTCCAATTGTGCCAACCTCTACAACACCTATGTCACCGCCGTCGCCCTCGAAGCCATCAACTGGCGCTACTACCTCATCTTCGTCGGCCTCAATCTCATCTACGGCCTCTGCTGGTTCGTGTTCGGTGTCGAGACTCGCGGCCGAACTTTGGAGGAAATGGACGAGGTCTTTAATGCCAAGTGGCCGCCGCGCGCTGCTCTGCAAAAGCACGTCATGATCAAACGAGATGGTCATCTTGCAGGCCTCGACGATAGTAGCGGCAATGCTGACCGGGTTTGAATGGGGGGTTAGAATGGGAACTGCCACAGGCTGAATCTTGGGCTTTTGAGTAACGAAGGGTATGTGACAATGGAGAGTTACTGGACGCTGGGCAAGGGGAGCTATTTCCTTTTGTACGAGACAAGTTATTCTGTCTATGCACGATTAATAATAGAAGAAAGTCGCTTGCTTTACTGTCACATTCGCGTCTTTGACACTTGTTACATGAATGTGGCTCAACGGACTCATGCACCCGAGACAGACAGACAGAGACAGACAGACAGAGACAGACAGACAGAGACAGACAGACAGACAGAGACAGACAGACAGAGACAGACAGACAGAGACAGACAGACAGAGACAGACAGAGACAGAGACAGAGACAGAGACAGAGAGAGAGAGAGAGAGAGAGAGAGAGGAGGGGTCTGGTTTGAGTCTATATTGCATCACTAACGACTATCCGTGCTCTCATTTCAGTTGTTCTCCTCTTGTAAGATGCTGTACATGTTTCCGTGGCCTGAGAGATAAGTTGCTAGCCCACTGTTCGCTTCTTCATGATCCTCTTGGAATGAATCCGGCCTGATCGTATCTTCAATCGCCCATGCTACTCTCTCTGCCGCGACTTTTGCCCCCCCAATATTCGGTGCTGCTGGCCCAATCTGAAGAGCTCCCAGTCGCCCAGCCAAAAAGAGAGGAATGCCATCCTTCCACATGAGATCCTCATTGATGCAGGGAAACCCACCATGCCCGTGTATGGGGTATTTCTGTAGCATGGTTTGAAGATACGGCAGGCAAGCAAAGTCAGTCTGGATTCCGGTGGCGAAGTATATGTAGTCGAAGGCGGGTAACCCCGCAATAGGGGGCTCTGTCTGAACGGACCAGAAACTGGAGCCATCTATGTCCTTCAATTCCGCGTCCACGAGAGTGGTAAGGGTGCGTAGCTCTATAGTGCCAGCCGCGATGCACTTCTTCACCTTCTTGTAGTAAAGAGGCGTGAGGCTGCCACCGCCGCGGGCCTCTTTGATGATGGCGAGGCGTTCGAGATCCGAGTCCGCGGTCCAGAAGCGCGCTTGTTCGGCGTTTTTGTATTTGCCCATCCATGAAAGATCGACGTCGAAGTGTTTGATCCGCAGCGGGCCGCGCATGAGGTGCCACACTTTGGTCACGCCTCTCTTGAGGGCCAGGACAGCGAGCTGGGCAGAGGTGAGGCCACCGCCAATGATGAGGACATTGGTCGAAGAGCCGGCGGCAATACGTGATTGGACAAGAGCGTCGGGGAACTGCTTGATCTGCATACTGTGACAAGCTTGAGGGAGAGCGCCGCTGGCCGTGAAGGGAGCTGATGGGAGAGAAGGGATCTTGGGCGTGTTTGCTGGGCCGACTGCAAGGACGACCGCTTTGGCATAGTAATGCCTCGTCTTGTCTGTGGTGACAGTGAAAAGCTTTGCGCCGTCTAACGAGATGCCCTGGACTTCGCCATAGTCGATGTCTTGCAGTGTCTCCTTGCGGATCAGCTGCTGTCCAAGGTCGTATCGTCCGGCGACTTGCGCGCAGTGGTCGCTGAAGAGGGCTTGGGATGGTGTGTAGTAGTCGTTTCGGTCTCGAAGATTGATATCGATTCTTGCTTCCTGCCTAGTAGATGTCCTTCAGTCAGCAAATTACGCGGAAGGGACCACAATCTAGAAGTCGACATACTTGCCGCCACACACCTGGCGCTTGGCCATCTTTTTGCTCGCATGCTTGCTAATTTCCTTGCCCACGCAGTTGCGAATCTCGACAAGTTCATCTTCTCGACGATGGTAATATGCGTGAGCCAGAAGCGCGTCTCTATCCAGTGGATCCACATGCCAGAGCATCGGGCTTCGAAGATGGGAGATGTCATATGTCTTGAAGAGATGGTTCCATCGGCCGAGCCACTTGTTGTCCGTGGCGTCTAAGACGAGCATCTTGTATTCGGGACGCGAAGCCTTCGAGTGCCGAGCCTGCGAGACTTTACCACTCTTGACGTGCTTGAGAGCGACTTGCTTGCCATACTTGCCAATCCAATGGTAACGGCGATGCTCCTCGTCCGTGAAGAGGGCGGCGGGAGTGTGCTCGCGAAGCCGAGAAGCTGTGGCGAGGCCACAGGGGCCTGCACCGACGATGATGACATCGTATACTTCGTTGGCTGTTTCACTCATGGCTGCTGACTCCTCGTCGTTTCTTGTATGTGTTGGAGGAAAGTTGGGCTGCTCTGAAGGAGTACTCGCAGTCTTGTTCCTCATGATAGAAAGCTTCTTTCTTTGGGTCTCTTGGTCCTCATATCCCCCTCATATGCCTTCGTAATAATGCAGCATAGGGGACCTTGATGGTCAGGTCGTAGCTGCGTCCCGTGCCTAGCCCAGCCTACATACGCAACATTAGCAGCAGATACGGGGGCCGATCTCCGCTGGTGAGCTAGTAGTAGATGATGTCGGATGGACCTTGATGGATTGTGGGGAAGACATCAAGGTTGCTTAGAGGAGCAGACTATGGGACATCACAGGCGCAAGACAAACCTAAGTTATTGCTTGCCCATTGGCAGCTTTGTACTTTTCATGGGTGGCAACGGGCTCACATTCCATTCTGGCCCTTGGTTGTCCCTGCTAGATCGTGATGAATGGCGTAGCTATCGCCGCATGTAAGGCCACAGTTTGGAGCAACACTAATTGACATGATTGCTCTCCTCGTCATGCTTTAGCAACCAGGATGCCAGTAGGTGTAGAAGTCACACAAAGAAGCACTTCCTAAGGCCTTTAGAATCGCTGAATAGCCAAGGTAGCTTGCATAATGGCTCTATGGCATCGTGTAGCAGTTTTCAGCTGTCAACTCATTCAGTGCCAGTCCCAAGGCTCCCTTTCCTAGATAAGGTACCTTGGGTATGTATTCTCCACTCCTGAGCTTAGGTGCCCGGACATCCATACCTATGATCGGCTTTACGATGCGCAACATCCATCAAGCGGATTCAAAAGCAATTTGGCGCAGTGGAAGCGCGCCGGGCTCATAACCCGGAGGTCGCACGATCGAAACGTGCAATTGCTATCTCGCACAAACTTTCTTTTTTACCCTTTTTCTCCTTCGCCCGCTCCATTTTCCTGTTTCCAATTCCCCAATGCTTCATTCTTTTTTCCCACATGTTTGATCCGTTCCTTGGTCCAGGTCTTTTTCCCAATTTTCAAGGGAAACTACCTACATCCCCATTCAGGCTCCAGCTCCAAACCGCAAACGCCTCTCCACGGCGTATTGGCTCGGGCATCCTCTACAGATCGATAATCGTAATTGACGTATCTCAGCGCCATGTTGTCCACGTAAAGGAGCAATAGACTCCCGTCATAGTCGACAGCAACCCCAGAAAACAGCACAAGTGCATCCAGTCCGTATTCGTGCTGAAATGGAAAACGTGCCCACAGGCTGGACCAAGAAAGAGACCCAAGGCCCATGCCGTGCTCAAACCGCTGAGCATCATGCCTGGAGTCAGCATCTTCAATTCCCAGCGCAGCTCTACGCCGCTGCCCCGTATGCGGCTTCTCAGAGCCGCGACTCTCTGCGCGGCGGCAGAGATGGCGGTCGTTTGAGTCGTCGTGGCGAGAGAAATGCAGAGGCCGATAAGCCCTACGTTCACCACGAAGAGCACGCGGGTTGTCGTATCGTCTCCGGTCAGGAAGCCGAGAGTGACCATGAAGACTCCGCATGCAAGCGCTGATAGCGTGCTGAACCATCGAGGGCCGTACAAAGTTGTATACTTGCCAACAAGCGGACCGCCTACCATGGGGAGAAGCAAGGCGAACATGACGCCTCCTCCGGCAGATGAAGTCCAGCCAAAATGGCGAAGGACGTAGATGGGAATAGTCTGTTGGTACTTGTTAGCAAGAATCATTTTAGACGATCTGATGATGCAGGAGAGTGAACTTACAGCTTCCAAGGCTGACCGGACAACGCATGCCATGGCCGCCCCCAAGACGCTGGACAGCCAGTTCCAACCCAGTACTCTCAGTGCTGCTACATCATCAGCATCTTCGCACTTGGCGATACCAGAAAGCGCCGATCGATTGTCTTCGCCTCCATGTTCTAGATCCGTCGACGAGCTGTGGTTGCATTCATCTATTGTGCCGTGAGATACTGCTGAAGAGGCTCCGAGGAGGGCATCTGCTTCTGAAAGACCCTTGGCGGCGTCCGCCATGCCTTGCTTCTGCTGTGATGCCGAGTCTTCATCTCGTTCCTTGACAAGAAGTCGGAGACCGATATCAACCGCAATCACCGCCTCGACAACAGTAAAGACGGCCCAATGTCCTAGGCTTTCATAGAGGTAGCCCCCGACAATAGGCCCCATCAGCTCCCCGACTGTTGCACCAAGTGTCGTGTAGCCCATGCACACTCCCAGATTGGCCTCGTCTACCTGTGAGACTAGAAATGCAATGCCGGACACCCAGACGAGGGCCTCGGAAGCTCCCTGCAGAGCTCTGGCGAATATGATGAGGTAGGAATTCTTGCTGAAGAAGAAGAGCAGGGTGGCGACAAGCATGACGCCGATGCCAACGAGGAATGGGCGACTTTTGGCGACACCGCCATCGATGTAACCAGCGATCCCTTTTGTGGCGCGAAGCAGTGAGTGAACACGCCTCATCGCAGGATAGCTATCACTGCTGAGTGAGAATTTGGATTGACTTACAGTTGGTGATCAGCAGTGCCACTCCGAAGGACTCGAGAGACAGCGCAGCCCAGTAATCAACTTTTTGATCGACGGCTACGTCAGCGGAAACTCAAGGTCTCGTAGCTCGAAAATGACATGTGAAATGCCTGCTACCTTCTTCAGGAGGTGTTTTCAGTCGACCCGTGAAGAGTTCTGGTAGAAACGGTATGACCAGATCGTACACCATCCCGTCCTGGTGAAATGACCATCAATTAGTATCGCTCCAGGTTCGAAGCCTCCTCATCGGTTCCATCACTTACCGTAAACACTGCAAATGCGACCGCAAAAGTCACGAGCCCCTCCGACGATCTCCATTGTTCTGTTCCCGACAAGAGTCTCATAACAGACACGTCCAAATGGGTTCTGGGGATCAGGGAGAATAGAGTGTAGGATGTGCCGATGTCCACTATGTCCAGGTATCTATCGATCGAGATCAGCCGTAACAGAGCATGAGACGAAAGGGAGCTGCAGTCTTATACTCTGACTTTGGCCGCATGGAATGGCAAAAGAGGACAGGATCAAGATGCTCGGGAATGCCTGGGGCGGGCGGGAAAGGAGTATGCAAGGCGTGAAGCTACCTCACAATTTGCATCATAGCGGGCCAGAAGCGTGTTTACTTGACGACCGAACAGTGATAGTAGAACTTGGTTGCGGATGCGAATAGGCCCGAGTATAGTCATTCTATTGTGAATTGTATACTTATAGGTAGCACGGTGGCGGAAAAAGCGTGTGCCCTGTATGTGACTGGCAGGCTGGAGAGCATGCTGTACCCCCCTGAACATGTCTCACAGTAATACGATGAGGCAACACCATCTCACGATCATGGGCGTTTAGCCCACCTAGTCATCAGCCACCATGGTCAAGTACGGGGAGGTGATGATATTGCGCCGCTGCCAAACGGCCCTGTCAGTTTCACCAGCACTCCGCGAGAGACGGAGGCTTGTGATATTGCTCTGAATTTGGCACATAGACGCCTGCGATGAGGTCGCTTACAAGCATCGATAGCTGATCAGAGTGTGGGTCTGGGTTGAAGCATGATCGGTGATGTGAGAACTGACCGGTGAAGTTCTTATCGTTGGAGATACATACGGTCTCGCGATTTCGAGTGCACCGAAGCACGCTCTTCTCTGCATAGCATCTCAACTACTGATCCATCGAGAACAATCGAGGTATATGCGAGTATTAAGATCAGGCAAGTCGCATGCGCTCGTGATCAATGCTGAGCCCGCCGCGGCTGATGACAAGTTGCATCTTATTAGTGGTACCTTACTTGATCTTGAACATCAAACCTAGGCTCCTGCCATGTTCATTGTTGTTAGGAATGTGCATGTCAGGATCCTCGCTCTATATCGATAAGGTAAGTAGCTGTATATCGCGCTTTGCTTGGACAAAAGGGTACATGTGCGATTTGTTCTCGAAGCGGTGGAGCTGGCTGCCAGGTACCTTACCTACTAAGCCTACCAACCTAAGGTACCTTTTCAGCAGACAACCGCTTCCGAATCATTCAACACTAGAAGTTAGCGATTGCATCGTGCTAGCTTTCCGGTAAAACGGGTTGTCTAATATAACGAAGCTAATGGTTGGCGAGTGACCTTCAAGGAGGGATGATGCGCAATGCTCTTCTGAAGGTGCACAGCTTGGCCTACTTGATGCGGTCGGGAAGGGCGAAGAGGGCCTTGATCATATATCACAGCTGCAAGATGTGAGTCTACCTAGAAGCGGATATGATGTCCTTGCTCATGGCTTTCTCAGCTGCGTCTTGATAAGGAACCAGAGGCCTTCCAGGCCTCCAGCCCCTCTCGCTGAAAACCCCGCGTCGTGATCTTGGCAACTGTACCCAGTTTGTACTCCGATGGTATGTGGCTGCATTGCTCCGCTCTTCTCGACTGTACCATGTTGCAGTATCAGTGCAGTTATGTACAAAGTCTCATCTGCAAGAAACGCGAGCTTGGGGGGCAAATCCCTCAAAATCACGAGCGCGTCACGGGAAGAAGAGGCAATGTGACTGTGGGAGCATCCGCGAACGAGCTGCTTCCAATGCGTCGCGTTACAACGCGCAATAGCTATATCGACTACGAGGCAGGCTCTGGATGTTTTCGCTAAAAGTGAGTTAGGATGTGGTGAGGTAGAGCTACATTCCTGTACATCTGCGGCTTTGTTGGCATCGCATGCATAACGGATTTTCGGTTGAATGATCACGGCGAAGGATTGCTCTTCTACTTGTATACATGTAATGAAGTGTGCGAAGTCGCAGCCTGATAAGCCAAATGACGTGCATCTTGGGTTCATGAGATGGTAATGTACGTGGATTACTAGCAATTTCGACAATGCATGTAAATCATTTTTCCTTACTTACATTCTCTAGACCCTGCCATCTTGCTGCAGCTCTGAGGAAACACCATATGCTAAATGACGTTTGTTCGATCGGCGCACAAAGTTGGGGCAAGTTAAAAGTAATCAAGATACGCCATGAGCGTTAGATAGGTGATCCCAAGGCAGCTGCTCCTTCGGTTTGTATAGGTACTAACAGCTGTCGAAGCTGGCAGCAAAAGACCTTGCTCGTTCAGCTGACCAGGCAATTTACATACCGCCTGTGCTTGTGTGCATATCAAAATCATATCGGAGGTCATTTCTACTCGGCTCACTTGACACTATTCACAAGGGCTGGGAAAAGACACCTGCAGGTATGTGTCTGTACACTACCGCAGGGAGCTCAAAGGTTGATTGATTTCCATCAACCAGCTGACGATCTGCCACAGGATCTGAGTTTGAGCCGGATGGCAGGGTGATGTTGGTGGGGAAAATGTCTTGTTTCATCGACAGCGCACCCTCTCATCAATCTCCTCGCTTTGGAAATGGGCGTTCGAAGCGGCCAACATGATTCTCTTCGCCGTTTCGTTATATAGACTGCTAGTGGCCTCTAGTGATTTGTCAGTGCTTGCATCGGGTGATGTTGTATATATATACCTAGAGTAATGGGGCCGGTCTTGAATGCTCTGCGAAAGTAGCAAGATCCATGGGAGGAATGCAAAGTGATTATAATAAGTTCAGTTTGCCTACTCCTAAGAATTTGCTGGCTGACTGTTTGGTCTCCAGAAATCTGAACAGAGATTCTGTAAAAGTGTGGATTACGCATGCAAATTCGGCTGTAATTGCGGTAGTATGCTGTCAGTTAGCTAGCATAACTGTTACTCACCAAGAAGCTCTATCATCCCGTATCAAGTGCTTGTCTCAACGTTCAAACGAGCCTGGCCACACTGTAAAAATCCGAAGTCAGGAGGCATTTGCCCGCCATCTAAAACATTCATCATATGATGAAAAGAGCGAAACATGCTTGTAGACAGCTACCTCTGGCATCGTTTGCCTACTCCTCTCATTCCTCCCCGGCCCTCATTCACGCGAGGCCTTCTCCTCTTCTGTTCCCACTTTGGCTTCACGTCCATGGAGCCGTCAAGCAACGTTATTCGCGCATGTAAAATAGGCTTTTGCGCATCACCCGCACAGCTATCCTGAAACATGTCAACAGGCCGACGCCTTGCCATTCCCGTGACCGGCTCATTCGAGAATCACCCAACCAGAACGGGCGGAGCCGTGCGTGGGCGGTCGGCCATTATTTCGGGATGCGGAAGGCTATAAACAAAGTCCTTGGCGTGATGGCTGGAACGTTCTCGTTCGGGCAGGTCTGTAATGATGGCTCAGATTATTGGAGAAACTGGAACCTCTCGGCGTAAATTCTTTGCCAACTCCAAGCCAGTCTGAGACGCTCAATTGCGCGGACGACGGGAAAAGGTAGTATCGGACTACATCTGACAAATTTCATTCTGGCAATGGACATGCCGGTGTTGTATAAAAGAATGGTCCATCCGCCCTTAGATCATGGAAAATGGAGGTATCTAAAGCCTGACCAGAGCTGCCAGATCCAGACGCAGCCTTGCCATGATGATGAAGTTCACAGCCCTCCTATTCGCCCTGGCTCCAGCAGTTCTGGCCCTGCCAAGCTCACCCTTGGCCAACCGGCAGGGAAGCATCACAGCCATTACAGACCAGCTTCTCTTCGACATATCTCTCCCCGACTTCATCACACACCGCAACGCAAAGAACCCCTCCAACCTTGACTGGTCGTCAGACGGCTGCACCGACTCACCGGACAATCCTTTTGGATTTCCCTTCGTTCCTGCCTGTTATCGCCACGACTTTGGGTACCAGAACTATCGCATTCAAAATCGATTTACTGAGAGCGGCAAGCTCAACATTGACAACAACTTCAAGGATGAGTGAGTTGGAAAGCCTTGCCTCTCTATGCGAGCAGTGAAGTGCTAAGCAGGATGGAATAGCCTCTACTACCAGTGTCAGTCATCGAGCGTGCAGTCCGTTTGTGACGCTCTCGCCGATGTCTACTACGCTGCCGTCAGAGCCTTTGGAGGCGGCGATGCTTCTCCCGGTAAGCGGGAAGAGTCGCAAGAGGACTTGATTAAAGAATATGAGGAGAAGGTTGAGATCTATAACAAGCTTGTCAAGGAAGCTCAGGACAAGGGCCTGCTACCCATTTTGGACTAGAAAGCTCAAATGTCTTGTATAGCGAGGCATGGATGACCAATGATACCAAGATTGAACGATAGTCCTTCGAGCATCTGATCATTGTTCAGCCTCGGGAAAAGTGACCTGAACCAATCGAGGAAATTTCCCGCGGCTGTGATTTAACAAATGGAAGCCGAGCAAGGTCTGTCCAAGCTTCAAAAGTTCTGTTGCTGATTACCCCGCACATGAGTTTCCGGATATTACCCCGCATCAACCTCTCAAGGCATCTTCGAATTCTCTTGGAAGGCATCGGGTAGCCTGCAAGGTACCTAATGCGTGCTGATCTACGACAAGAAGTCGATGCTAACAACAACGTCGTCGCGTTGCGTGGCCTAGATAGGAGTGATGGATGAAGGCTTCTATATCGCTGGAACTGCAGCAACAGAATTCAAGCCTCTCTTGAAGAACCCACAGAATGAGATGCGGTCAAACAACGGAGTCGAGAATGGAGGACAGCGTACAGGGAGTTGGCCACAGAGTCGCGATGTACGAAGCAGCACCGGATATTTATTTGTCGGGATTTCGGGAGAGAACCTTGCAACAGTTATATGACTAATGCCAAATGCCAATAGAAAGAAATGGTGGTGACAAAGCAAGGCAGAATATGGTTGCATATGATTCAACAATAATGGCCCCAACCTGGCATGGTCCAGCTGGGCTAACAGTTATCATGTCTTTTATGGAAGTTTCCTCATGGGAGAGACCAAAATGAATGAATTCTGAACTGTTGACTCGAGGAGCTGTCTTGTCCTATTGACGTTGGTGTTGAGAGTAGGGGAACCTGATCGTGTGGTCCGTTTCATCGGATCTTGACACACATCTCTAATCCCTTGGAATATGGAAGGGTCAAGTTAGTATAGCCGCTTGTCGGCGACCTCAAGTGGCTCAGGAGATCCTTGTATCGAGAGGCGGAAGCAATGGAGTTGTCAATGATGACGACGGCTCCGGGCCTTAGCTTCGGCTCCAGAAGTTTCAGGGCAGGTAGAGCAATAGGGGCCCAGACTAGATGTCGATTAAAAAAAGAGTCACTGTGGTAAATATAGCGTTGAACTCACTGTCCAGAAGAACTAGATCAACTTGGGGTATGTTGTCTCTTAATGTCTCAAGGAGATCGCCTTCTCTGAGATCGATATGCCGCATCACGAGATCGATACCGGCTTCCCTCCAGTGAAGACGAGCATTTTCAGCCTTTTCATGCTCCTTTTCCGTGGCAATAACCATACCACCACCACCGAGATGTTTGAGGTTGCTGCCGACGGCCAACGCAAGATATATAGTGCTCACACCGAAGCTGGTGCCGACCTCGACGATATTGCGAGCCCCGGTGGCTCTGGCTAGCTGATAGACGAAATGGCATTTGTCTTGGTCCAGTGCGATGAACTTGTCTCGCATCAAATCATCGAACCCATCTGGAGAGCTTAAATATGTTGACGGAAGAGCTTCTTCCTGTGTAAGTGACTCTTGGTGAAGACGGTTGAGCAGCGCGTGAACATGATCCGGCGCTACGACAGGATTTGCTGCTGGAGCAGACATCATGGGATCGATCAATCGAAGAGTTTTCTCCTGCTGTGCAGATTCCAGTGATGTGGCGAGTATATCTGTAAATTGTGCGGAAGCGCGATGCTTTCGAGTGTTAAAGAAACGACAATCTCGCAATACAGACCCCTCAAGAGGTCTAAAAGCTGGCGTTTGTTCCACCTCGAGATTTGTCTTTGATGCGCGCGCCTTCTCCTGCAAAGGGCACTATCCTTCCCTCGGTTAATAAGCCGTCTTTTCGTTGCCTTTCTACAGCACAATAGTGCACTATAGTAGCGAGCTCTCTGCCGCGATTTTATTCACACATGATTTGGTACCCCTCCCGATCTCCGCATCGCGGCTGATCATCTGACCCTGAATGGCTTTCATGATACCGGGCCGCTGATGTAATAGAAGCTCGGATGCTGGAAGAACGAACAATCCTCGGAGAGATAAGTTTGTCCAAGCATGACGGTGTTAGTTCGCCTTAGCTGCTAGTACATATTTCCGTCTGCAACTGGACGGAATAAGCGCTCGTCCGGACTCGCTCCTCAGGCTCTTTCAAATGAGAGCCGAGGCCTTCATTGAAGCCCATTGCGAGTCGGGTAGTCCCAGCACCTGATATGCACTTTGTACTAGAATATCAACTGGATAAGAAGGTTGGCGGTGAGATCGTTTCAGTGTGTTTAAGTGCGGGTCACTCGTGGTCCAGCATCAGAATCTTTGGCATTAAGGTCCTGCCTTGAGAGATCCAAGACACCGTAGGTACACAGCTGTTTACTTCGCGTGTAACGGGTAATGTCTCGAATCTAGGCATTGGGGCTTTGCCCCCCTGGGCGAGGATATCTTTTACTCCCTTGTCCTGGATGTCGTTACTAACAATTAGTTCTCGTAGTTGTATAGCCTTGGTCATAAGATAGGGGCTGAGTACCTACCCAATTCTTTCGTCCTGCCATATCCGTGTCTGAGAGAGGTTCGTACTGCCTGCGTTGAACATGTGCATGTATCAGGAAGCTGTCAGTGATGTGAGTCGCCACTCGACAAAGGTCCATCATGAGAGTTCAACCCCTCATATCGCGTGTTGGCTAGTGAGCAAGCATGTAATGTAGCATGCAATGACTACATTGTTCGGCCTATGGTCGTCTCATTCAAAATCAACCCACCAGACATACGAAGTCCGCAACACCAACCAGGAAGAGTGCTTGCCCCAAGTTTCTGACCTGTTCGATGAGACTACCAAAGAACGGAGATGGGCTGTACTCCTGTATATCGGTGATGTCTCCAACCAGCTTGCTCCCTTCCAAAAGTTGAGGCACGGCGGCATCTCACCCTGCGGTGTGGGGTACCGTATTTGCAGATATGAGTCGCATAGATTCGTCTGTGCCCAAGAGGTGCAGCTGCCGGGCATGGGGATGGACAGTCTGTAGATTTCCCTTCTTAATGGGCCATATATCCTGCAACAGACTGTCGTCATGGCAGACGGCTACACTACAGACAGTTCGATATATGATCGGATGTGCTCATGATCATCCGATATACAATGCAGCTGGCAGACTATGAGCGCCGAGACCATTGTGTAAACCTCCTCACCAGGTCCCTCCAGATTGGCACCATCCTGGCTGATATATTCGATTAGTCGCCAAACCTCAACAAGCCAATATCGAGGTTCCAACAGACTCCTCCTTCTTTGTCCCGCATAGCATCACCGGGTGATGGAAAATAAAGGGCGGACATGTCAAGTTCTGCCAAAGTTTGCATATGACAACACACCCATGCTCGTATATGACAGAGCCACGGAGAGACTAGAATAAATTCCATAACTTAGAGTGTGTCACAACGAAGAAAGTTGCGCTAGTACCTAGTCTCGATCGTGTATACCTAGTGAAATGGTGTCCTTGACAAACTAACATGCATGTTGAGTAACAAACTCCCCGAGAGTATGCTATAACTTGACTCTAGATGTCGGATGGGAGTATCATGTTGATGACCAATACGTAGTGCAAGTCTCTCGATATGCAACCATGAGCGTGATTAATCACTATATTACACCCCCGAGCCATAAGTATCGAGCGAGGATGATAAGGTAGGCCGATCTGGCAGCTGCCATTTCGAGACCATGCCTCTCAAAGAAATAGTTGGCCAAGTGTCTCAGTGCTCCTTCATAGTAAGATGAACTTGGCAACTAGAGAATGGACACACAAAGTCAAAACGAAGTCTAGTGTGTGTAAGTATACGACATCGGCTTTGGGCTGTTAATCCCTGCAGTTGCCATTTTCAGCATTGGCTGCTGAAAACACGTCATGCATCACCAATTGTGATTATGCCTCAGGAACTTCTATCGGATTTATTGATTCTTTTAATGGACTCGGACTTGGGAGCTTCAACAGATGATTTCAAAGCATTCATTGAAGAACGGCAAGCATGGATCCAGAAGCAAAAGGCTATCAATTGTTTTCTTATGAGCTTTAGGCCTTTTGTTTGTAGATATAAGGAGCAGCCTTGAGCCATGATGGAAGTGAGTCCACGGGCATCACAAAACTGTTGCAAGTTTCGAGCAAAAAAGCCCTTCGCGCAGCTCTACATTCAACAGCATGGCCGCCAAATCACCTATTAACATCATCGCCGGGGCAGGTAACGTACGTATCCCTTTCTGGAGGGCGTCTCCCTGGCCGTATTCTAAGTCTTGATTTCCAGATTGGAGACAGCAGGATTGACAAGACTGTGCGATATGACACGCCCGACCAAGTTATTGCATACCTGGATGCATTCTACAAGCGAGGGTATAAGCAGATCGACACCGCACGGAATTATTCCACGGGGGCCGCCGGTACCTCGGAGCCAAGGCTCGGTGCAGTGGAGGCTGGGAAACGCTTCATTATCGACACCAAGGTGAAGTCCCGCGAGCCTGGAAGCCACACGAGGGAGAAAATTGCCGAGGACGTTGATACTTCGCTTGAAGAGCTGAGGATCGACCAAATCAACATCGAATATCTCCATCAACCGGACAGGGCGACCCCCTTCGAGGAGACTTGTGAAGCCATTGACAAGGCTTATAGGGAAGGCAAGTTCAAAAAGTTTGGACTTTCCAATTTCACGGCAGGTGAAGTGGCACAAGTCCTTGATATTTGTGAGCGTCGGGGTTTCGTGAAGCCGAGCGTCTATCAGGGACAGTACAATCCCCTTGTCCGTGGTGGAGAGAAGGAATTGTTCCCCCTTCTGCGCAAGAACAACATGGCTTTTTATGCTTGGAGGTATGTCGTGGCTTACCATCTCCGGATGTTTGAAAGAGCTCCAACGGCACGAAAGAGTCAGAGAAGAGCCAGAAGACCACGGAATACTGATACACGAAATTAGCCCGGCCGGGGGAGGCTTCTTTGCCGGAAACTACAAGACCGATAAAGAAGGCGGTCGGTTTGACAAGTCTGTATGTTTCAGCTGAATTGAGTGACTGTGTCTAGATGCAGTGACTGACATCGAGATGCAGACTTTCCTCGGAAGTTTCTACTCGGCCCTGTACCTGAAACCATCAATCGAGGCCGCGACCGAAAAGGCCTTGGCTGTTGCTGGCAAGCACAGTATCAGTGGCCATGCCGCTGCCCTGAGATGGACCGTTTATCACAGTGGCCTCGATGCGAAGTACGGAGACGCCATCATCGTTGGCGCGTCTACAATCGACCAAGTCAACTCTAACGTCGACATTGCCGAAGCAGGGCCGCTCCCGGATGATGCTGCCATAGCCTTCGAAGCATTGTACAAGGAAGTTGGTGCTGATGAGATTCCTTATGCTTTTAAAGCTGGGCCACTGGGGCGGCATGGAACGGGGCTCGACACTCGGCTTGAGATTAGTAATCCTGCAATAACTACCTAAGCAACCCTCGATGCATTCGCTCCTTTCATGACTCGGCCTGATTATAATAGACTAGAGAGAGCAAGGCGGTGTTAAAAGCCGACCAACCATCGGCAGGCCGAGGAACCCCGGATTAGGAAACTGCACGCCTTGGCAACGGCTGAAGAGGCTTAGGGTGAGATTTCATAGCTGATTCTCGCAGCAATAGCTGAGTTCTGGATTTATCATCCTTCTGAGATATTCCTTCATATTTTTCGACACCTGGCCTTAGTAGCATATATAGTATTTGTGACATGCTTCTCTCCTGTTTCGTATCAACGCCTGACTTGCCTAAAAGCTCAACTATCCGCATGATCTAGTCATCGCCAGTTGACAGGAACTTGCTATGAGTCTACCTTCACGGGGAAAGGTGCATTTTGTGTATCTTACAGACCCGGCCAAGGGTAGCGCCATTTCTTCACACAGGGCGGCAAAGTCACATGCGGCGCGGCACGGTCATGCAAGGATACGCAGGCAGCGAATGAACGAATATCAACAGGAGGGAAGCAAGCATGAAGGAGGCAGCCAAGTCCTCTCAACAGCCGCAATCTCCACAGCCTCGTCGGCCGGTCCTAGCCGCTCTGGTCCAGTGAGAGACTCACACTCCAGATCAAATGATAATAGAGGGGGAATGGGGCCGAGTTGCGACATACTTCTGCAATCTCCTCGCGCCTCTCAGCCTTCTATCTTGGAACCGTCCCCACTTTCTTCAGTTACCAAGAACATCGAATCATTGTATGGCACCAGGGTCAACTGGACGCAGCAGTTTCTTATACATCACTGTAAGCATACCAATCAGCTCAGCGCTGTGTTGAGAATGGTCTGTCTAGACTTCTTGGGTATCGATGTGGCTTACACTCGTCAGACGTTAGCTTTGTTATTCCTTTTGGCAAACGCCATTGCCAGCAATACACGGACTCCAAAGTATGGAAACAATTCATGTTCACCGAGTTGTTCCCTGTCGCCCTAGCCAATCCTGGGTTGCTGAGCGCGATATTACTCGCTGCCTGCCGGAGCCTTTTCGAACAAGACCAGAACAGCCGTTACGTCCAGCTGGCCACATACTACAAGCTCGTTTGCCTCCGATCTATGAGTGAACTGCTCGCCGTCCAGACCCTCCTTGTGAACGACTCGGCAATAGCCCAAGCATCTTTATTAGCAGCAGACGAGGTGCGTTTCGCTCGGCACAACTGTTGAGGCTGACCCTAAATGTTCGACATAGCTCAACGTCGGTGACAGAGACGTTTCAAGGCAGCACATTGAAGCCGCAAACAGGATGGTAGCTATGTAAGGAGGCAGTGCAATGCTCGGAATGAATGGGTTCCTCGCAGCCATTGTAGACACATTGACGTGTGCTCTGGCTCGACGAGATCCAATGTGTAAGCTTCATATCCCCTGAGGTGACCCGGAATGATGAATGTTGACTTCCATGACAGCGTGTGATATGCCATGAACATAGATTGATTACACAGCGAGCCTCCACTCATCCTATAGAGTTTCACGTAACGAAGGCTCATGAAGAATTGATACCCTCGAAATAATTGATATGGTCTGTAACGTCACATTGCAGCTTCATGCGCGTTGCTCCCAACGCTCCAAATGTTCACTTGATTGCCGCCACAGATGGTGATAGTACTTGACACAGTACTCACTACGAGATGATAGATTGCGTAGAGTCTAAAAAGCCTATAGCGTTGAAACTGCAAAGGGGATAGTTGGAAAAAGGTACAGTACTTACAGATTGATACCGATCACTACTTTGAATATCTGGAAAACAGCTTGATGCATCCGTGACGCTAGTAATGCTAAACATTGGCCTCACAAATCACAACGGCCCCCTCACTCCCTAGTCTTTCGAAGGCGAAGGAAAAGCTAAAAGCGACAATCCAGATGAGTGATCACCATGATTCTCTGCTCATGACGGTGAGGAGTATCTTTTCTCATATAGTTATATAAATGAATATGCCTAGATTTCCGGATCCCATGTGTCGGCGTTTGAACGTTAGAGGAGATCATCCATAAGACTCTGAAGAATAAAAGGGGGGGTGAGAAGGAGAGGGTTTTGAGTGTGTAGACCAAAGGCTGAAGGCGGCTAGGGTAAGAATGAAATAGGTAAATGAATCAACCTAAATCGGCAAGTGCTCGAGGAAAGAATGAGACGAGTCGCGACCACTAAACGTCTGTGGCACTTTGTTGTCATATAATAGTTATGATAATGTGGCACTCAGACTGGACTGCTGACAGATCCTGGAGCCTCTTGTATGAGGCACTTAATTAGCCGGAATGGGCACGAAGGCCTTCTTCGTCACGCTGCTTACCGTAGGGACCTAGTGATTAATGCCGGCTTAATGTGGTGCGAGGGAGATGTTTATCTAACGCAGTAACTTGACAAAAACGGGGTGAGAATACTATGCTTGTTACGTTACTTGTGAAACATGTGAAGACCAGTACTCTAGGTGGCATAGCTTTACAGTATGTTTGTGTGTGTGTGTGTGCGTGTAGTGACGATGATTGATGGAATTGGTGCAACTAAGTGGGATGTACCACGTCCAATTGAGGCCAATGGATTTTCCTCGATTCTTTGTTTATCTCATATTGATCCCATTTGCATAACCCCGCGGACTCTTTATATCCAGTGATTAACAGACAAGTGAGTGTTTAACAAGGGGCAGCGCAACGACATCATCCCAAGGGTGTATTCATATGTAGCATCACCAGAGAACAGAGCCATTGGCCTCAGACCTTCACAAGCATGCCTCATTCAGGCAGGAGGTAAAATTCAGAAGTGATGACTGTGCTGGGAAGGCTGCCAAGAGTTTCATGAAAAGATGTGGTGACTTTTTTGCATGGAACCAACAGAGAGCGTTCTGGGGTGCTGCGGATAGATACTGGCAATAGTTGCTTTTAGCGTCTCAGCAAAGTTCTTGCCTAATACAGAAGCTGGTGTCTATCCAATGTATTTTTTACAAAAACAACTAGTACTTTTGCGTGCGGAGTGGTGGTTCGAGTGAGATCTAACGACAGTCAGTTGACAAAAAGTATGCCACACCTGAGAAGTGAGAACAGCTTCAGGAGATGATTGCTGTTGGTACTTGAACCAATTCGGTCAGCAGCAAATCGCCTGTCTGTCGATCAATGGAAAAGTTCTCCTCACCCAGTCAAGCTCACTTCAAGCTGAATGATACACTGCGAAGGTTACAGGATATTTTGATCCCTAGCGTAGTTGACCGCGACCACCGTAAATGATGCTCCTCATTGTCCCCATGGCTTTAATTGTATACTTTGTCTAATCTCACCAACTGAATCCTCACCTTCTCCATAGGTAACAGCTCGCATCTCGTTACCTGCCGAATTAGTGCTAACAATCTCACCAAATGCCAAGTTTTCATTTGGCCGTGGAATTTTACCGAGCCACTGCACCGAGGCTGCGCCACGGGTTCCTGAGCCGCGAACCTAGTGCCAGATAGCTTATTGTTATGCTAAACTTGACGTTCGTTGCTCCGTCAGGTTGCTTGTTTGCTAAGGACAGACTGCGGCGCTTGCAGTCTTGCACTTCACACAGGTGAGGTGACACCCTTGCTGGCTGATTAGTCTGATACTCCGCTCTAGATACCTATGCTTGGGCTATGTGACTTGCACATCCGGATCCAACCGGCTGGCTGGGCGTTGCTTGCCATTTCCTACATTTCAATTGACACCCGAAATACCAAGGCAATATAAGATGTACTGTTGCTATACGCAACGCGTCCCGAGTGAACTACTCTATAGTCATATCAGCTCTCTCTAGAAGTCGGGGAAGTCATTGTATACTCATAATGGAGTTTGCAATCATGTCTCCCGCTCGATTGGACTTACTGCCTACTGGAGATGACAAAGTTAGCATGGTGACATGGAGAGTCTTGGCGTGTAGGCATCGCCGAGTTGCAGCAAGTTTGGACGAAGCTGGTGTTAGAAGTACCCAAATCGGAAGCTTGATAATACTAGTGGTGGCATCAATAACAGCATATCCCTGCCTCTCAACCATGATGATAGCGGCATCAGCGGGCTTCATGACTATTACGGCGAAAAATCAGGATGTAAGGACAGTCTCGCCACAAGCTGTTGAAGCTTATGTGTTAGCTTGAAGACTTATTCTAAAGAAGAAGTTGGGTAGAAATGCTTCCAGGCGGCCTCGGGATATCCCAGACTGCTCCATCGTGCATATATAATGAAAGAAGTTCCCTCGACTTGTCAAAAATCTTGTCAAAGTCACCGATGGTAGCCAAGAGAAGCACCTTGAACTTGCATTTTACTTTACGCCTTCTATCGCCGAAACAAGACATCTCAAAATGGTTAACAAAGCTGTCGTCGCTTCTCTATTGATGGGTGCCGCTATGGCGGTTCCTTATCCTCCGTCCATCGACCTGGGGCCGACTGGCCCTGTTCCCGACACCGTCGACTTCTCTCCCAAGAAGCCCAATGGTGGCAATTACATGCCTTCAAAGTCCACCAATGCTCCTGTTTCCAGGACTGCTGACGCTCCTGCTGTCGGCGACAAGCTGGAAGCCCGAGCAACTGGCGAAAAGGTCACCAATGGTGTCGCTCGCTTCGATAACTCAAACATTACAGACGGAGTCGGCAGCGGTGTTGACTCTTACACCATGTACTGGGGAGATGGAAGCACTGGCGCCGGCTGGCCTGCCCAGAGCCGCTGGGTTTCCTTCCAGAACATGTTCGATAACTACAAGAATCAGATGTTTGCGGCTTGCGCGAACCTGCCAACTCCCCAGCCCAACGATAGCGGCCCTGAAGTTGGTGCTATCTGGGATGGTATCCAGGTAAGATGCGATTGATATATTGCATATTGTTGACGACCCACCAACTTACGATATTACTACAGCAAGCGGCTGCAGCGACTGGAGTAGATCACAGACTTATTCTGGCCGTCATCATGCAAGAATCCCACGGTATGAAACCTGCTTTACTTTTAAGGGCTGGCTCCTAACCATTCACTAGGGTGTGTTCGTGTTCACACGACGAACGGCGGCGTCCGAAATCCGGGGTTGATGCAAGACCACAACGGATCTGCCACTTGTAATGAGAATGGCAGGGTGCAGAACCCCTGCCCTTCAGCGACCATCTATCAGATGATCAGCGAGGGTACTGCAGGCACCAGCAGCGGCGATGGCCTCGCCAACTGCATCAACCAGTCTGGGCGCAACGATGTTTCAGCCTTCTACCGTGCTGCCCGTATTTACAATTCGGGCTCGATCTCGAGCACTGGGCAGCTCCAGAACGGCATTGCCACTCACTGCTACGCCAGTGATATCGCTAACCGACTGACCGGCTGGGTCAACGCTCCCAATGGATGCAACTGCGACAACAACCCTGGTAGCTGTGGAATCACTACCAACTGAGCATATGAAGAGATACGTTGCTTTAGAAAGTAGCGTGCGAGCCGATATCTGCTTCGTGGTATCACTCTCATCCCACTTTGTACATATGAGGATTCCGTATATAGTTTGTTGTTCAGATATGTGTGAGCAACGTAAATAAAGTCAATCGCATTTTTCTATTCGTGGAACATCTCCCGCCCTATGTCAGTGCATACCTGTGAATTTAGTAGTGTTTTCTCTAGCCCTGTCTTGAGCTACTCGATCTCATAAACCCTGCCAACACGTCACATGGATCGTGGTAATCAGTTTCAGCATGATGTACTGCCTCCTTGACATGTGCGCGTCTTCTTGATTATATGCTAGTTGCTATCTACGTCGTAGGCCTATGATTAAGATTGGAAGCCTCGACCTATGACCACCAAAAATTTGACGCGTTCAAGGGCGAAGTGAGTCTGATACCCTCCTTTCACAAGCGCCTGGAGTATAACCCAAGCTGGTGCAAGGCTACTATTGAAGAGGTAACTACCTCGTGAGACATGTAATGTACACTCATATGGGACTTGGGAAAGGCGTGACTGTGCGTATCGACCCTGACGTACAGCTGCAGAAACCAAGTGGACTAGGCCAGCGTCCAGTCATAACACACCCGGCACGGCTAGCAGACAGTTTGATATAAAGGCTTTAGAAGCGGACCAATAGGTGAGCGAGCCAATATTGCCGGGCATGGCGTCAGAATTCTTTCGAGATGAGTTCTGGATGCATGGCATCCCGTCATAAAGAGATCCCTACCGTAGCATATTCCAGCCTGCAGCCCAGCTAAAGTAAATCGTGACGAGGATTCTTTATCCACAGCTACTTCGTTACCACTTCGTTTATCAATTTAGGTAATTGCTCCTTGAGCATCCATGTTTCGATACTGATGTAAATGACCAATCATTCTTGCTAGTCCCATGGGAAGCACATTTGCAAGACTTTTCCCGTCTCCTTTCACGCCGGAATCGGATAGATTATCTTGCCGGCCGTGATGATGAGCAACATGCTCTAGATCCACCTCAAGGTCACCTAGGGGTCTATAAAGAGTTGGCATGGCCCGTATATATTTACCTCCTCTAAAGTCCACCTCCTATTACCAGCTTCAAGACTGTCATCCTACGAAAGCTCTCGAGCAAGATGCAGCTTCGTCTTCTTCTCGCTGTCTTCATCGGCGTTGCTTCTGCAGCCACTTTGCAAGCATCTGATTGCGATTGTGTAGGTGGTATACAATGAGCTGTAGCTAGCTTGAATACTGACAGAGATGAATCAGTTCGTTGCCTGCGACGTAAGTTGAATTGTGTGGCGTGGAGTTGTACGGTCGACTCACTCCTTCCGCAGAGCGATCTTCACGATCCCGGAAACTGTTATAATGACTTCCCTGGATGCACTGATACCTGCTGTGGGCTATGTGGATGCAATTGTCCATAGGTCGTCATTGTTGGGAGAAGTTGGCAGCTTCTGAATGCCTATGATGCATCCACTGCGAGCCCCAGATTTCGAGAACGTCTATGAAAGCTCTGGTGTTGTCTGTTACAGTGGCTCGCTTGCAAGAAGTCTCTGGAGGGCTGTTATGATAAGATAGCAAGTCTACAATGAATCAGATGATGAAATACTTAGCAATGTACGTGTCCTGTAGATGGCGCCCGGATCACGCTACTTGACTGTAATACTACTAAAGACCAGTTGGAATATGTGGCTCAACTACATTGTTGAGAACTCAAGTGATAGGTCTAGTTCATGGCCTCCTTCGCCCACCAGCTATGCGCCCCAATAATAAGCCAGCCTTCTGCTGGCATCAATATGTCATCTCTTTCGTGAGGGACATGCCATGACTTGCTGGGGACGAGTTCATTGTAACTAAACCAGGTATCTGCACCGGCATTAAGCGAGACAGTGATCATTTTCCCACGCATGTTTGATCACAACACACGGGATATCACCCCCCTTTCAGCGACAGTCGTCGAGCCTTGTTGTGGATGCTGGCTTGAACACCCCGCTAGCTTAGGCCGTTTTGCGCTCTGCAAATTGATCAGAGAATGCCACTAAACCTTGTTGGCTGATGTGTCCAGGCGATGACTCCATTTCAAATTGTAGATCAACTGGGATTGGCGGAAGTCGGTCAGGCTCATCGGGTTTGAAAATGCGAGTTGCGCATTGCCCGCAGTTCGGGATACTAATTAGACCGCACCCATACCACGAACGATCAGAGAACGATAACGTGTTTATAAAACTTCTTGTGTATCTAGATAGTACTTCGCATGGAATGTTTTGCTATTTTGAATGATTGATACTGGCCTTCATAAGATTCAAGTAGTATGCTAACGCAGTTATTCTGTGTTACACCTTGAGCTCATCACGACGAACCTTTGCATACAAAGCAGTGGAACCCGGGCGAGCCAAGTGGGTAAGGCAGAGGGGGGTGAAATTCCGTCCTCCGTCTCGGCTGAGTCTCTAGGTTCCTTCGAGAATGTTATTTCGACAATGTAAGGAACCAGAGAGATCTCCAGATATCCTCGCGTACCTTCGTCCACATTATTCACCCAACCACCAAGATGTATGCATACCGGTATTAGACAAACCAGTCATTAGTGATCTTCAATCAGAGTAGACACGGGAAGGTGGTGCATGAATGAGTGAAACTAGTACTTTGTACCATGTCTCTAGCCCAGGAGTGTGCCGTCTCTCATCAACAAATGTGCTCTTTCTACATGTTGTCTAATAATCCGTGCTCAGCGCAATCGACTTCGCCTTCTCTGCAGTCTCTTTAAGCATCCTAATCTTCGCTTCGAGCATAGAATAACAGTCTGATCCCAGTGGAAATCGAAGCTGATCTTCCAGTCCTGTTGCCAATCCCGTTCCTGTGGCAATCTCATAAATGCGCTGGACGCCAGCCTCCGGATTTCCTGGCTGCTTCTCATGTAAAGTAGAGAGAAGCGTTCCCATATCTGCATACCCTTCCACATGGCGGCTTACATTCTCGCCATGTGCGATCGACTTCAAAAAGTCCGTGCGGAAGACGCCTGGCTCAACCACGTGGACGCGAATACCGAAGGGTTTAAGCTCGTGGGTCATGGCTTCGCTCAGTCCCTCAACGGCAAACTTGGAGGCCGTGTAGATTGGAGCTCCCTGAGGACCAAGGATGCCCACGCCACTTGAAAGTTGCACAATGACGCCGGACCCCTGCTTGCGCATGTGCGGAATCACTGCTCTTGTGAAATTGAGCAGACCGAAGAAGTTCACATCAAATTGATAGCGCGACTCCTCCTCAGAAACCTCCTCAACAGAGCCAAAATGACCAAAACCAGCATTGTTGACGAGAATATCGATCCGTCCGTGCCTCTCGACGGCTGCGCCGACGAGTCTGGAAATGCTGGCGGCCGATGCGGTAACTTCTGTCTCCACCAGATCGGCGTTCGGCTTCTTCGTAAGATATTCAGGGAACTTTGAGAGACTCCTGGCAGTTGCAATGACTGTATCGCCTCTGGATAGAGCCAAGTCGGCAAGCATAAGACCGAAACCGGTATTCGCCCCAGTAACGAACCAAACGAGGGGAGCCATGGCGGCAGCTGTTGAGGTGTGTATGTGTTGGTGGAAACTCGGATACTGACGATGGGAGGTTGTGACTTGTATGTCTGTTATGTCTTCTGGAAGAAAAACTTGTGTTTAACGGTTCCTCCTCAATTCTACCCTCATATTCAGTGCCGTTTTATAGCCATCTCAATAACCGTGTTCTGCGTCTTTCTTCTACCATTTCCCGACATCATGGGATAAACCCGCCGTTGTTCGGGAAATAAGTCAGCAACTCCGCTATCGACAGTCTGTTCCGCATCCCGACAGATCCTCCAATTTCCCGCTATATCTCGGACCGCGACAATGCGCAAACCCAGCGCTCGAAACATTGATTCTGCGCCTTGAGTGGCAGCGTTACTCAATGGATCCAGAACAGGACTTGACCAAGCGTGTCCGAGGCCGAACCGTTACGGCATGCCTCGAGTGCCGCAAGATGAAGAAGAAATGCGACCGGCAATGGCCTTGCAATCATTGCTCAAACAGAAAAATAGCGCACAGGTGCCAGTTCTCACAGGCGACCCAAAGACATCAGCAGATGATCGCTTCGACCGAGATGCCCTCAACTGCAACCTCGCCATTCGTTGTCTCCGGGACGCCGGACGACGCTGGCCAGATTACGAGTCCAGCATCCGCGATGCACAAGTTGGGTTATCTGTATTCAAAGAACGATGTAGTGTTTGGTGGCATCATGGTAAGATGGCAAAATACTGCTATTCTTCCATGTCAGCTAACTAGCCAAAGGCCCAGTACGCAGAGTCCCCAACTGCTCTCCCTGACCCGGTCCTGAAGGCTTCTCGCGTCGTTCCACCACGACCCTACACAGATGTACTGATTGGAAACTTTTTTGATAACGTTAACTATCATTACGGGATTCTTCATCGGCCTTCATTCATGGTGGCTTATGTCAACTGGTGGTCTCATCGACGTGAAACGCAGGGCGAGTCCGCTATGCGATTGACGTGTCTGATTCTCCGAATATGCGCCAACTCTGCACAGTTTCTCTCACCACAGACCTCATTACAGCTGGAGACCGACCTGGGTGACTCTGCCCAGGACCTGAGCCGGTCCTATCACGATGCTGCACAGACAATCAGCGCCTTTCTATCACCTGCCTCTGGGGATCTTGTCTATGCGCAACAGCTCTTCTTGGCCGCTACCTGGCATAAGGGTGAAGCTGACTTTGTCCAATCGTGGCACGAGCTTGGTGCTGTCGTGAGAGCAGTTCAGGAGATAGGTACACTCCATGGCCTTTTGGCACATATACGTTTGACCGGTTGGCTAACTCCAGTGCTTCCAGGTGTTCATACCGACTTCCTCTCCGACGGGCTGAAAGAGTTTGATAGGGAAATGCGACGAAGGTTGTGGTGTGCTTTGTATACTTGGGAAAGGTGTGTTGGCTTGACCTCGACACATGAGTCAAAGCTGACTGAGCTTGCATCAGATACATGGCCGCAAACTTCAATCGCCCTCCAATGATACACTCAAGTACTGCTGTGCCGCTGCCCAATCCAAATTTGGACCAGCCGAGTGCTCTCTCGGACATCCCATCGCTCATTGTTGCCAAGGTACTCGAGAACCAGCTCGCCCGGCAACTTGGAGAGGGCGGCAGTGTGGATGGCACCAGTGTCCGGAGCAACCTGGCATTTGTCGAAACTTGGATGTCTTCCCTGCCGCCAGTTTTTAGAGTTGTAGACCCAGAAACGCGCTGGGATGGAGACTATCCGTACATCCCGTTTCAACGTCTTCAGCTGCACTGCGTTGGTTACATGACCCAACTGTTACTCCTACGATCTACCTTGACCTCTTCTGGCTTCTTCCCAGCAACAAGCTCTGCAAGAGGTTCTCTTACACCGGAAATGCTGACAGTCGTCAACCAGCTTGTTGATGTCAGTCTCAAGGCCATGGCCGTGAGCAAAGACACCTTTGAACTTTGCTTTCCGCAGCATTCTAAGTACTATATGGTTGCATTTTGCCCATTTGACAATGCAGCTCTCTTGTGTTCTTTGCTTTTGCACGACAACGATCGGAAAGTGATTCCAAGGCGGATGGAAGTCGTCCATGCTATTGGTCAAGCGTTGTACATCTCTCGCAGACTTCGTGGATGCACCAAAATGGGTGACGCAACATGGAGTGTATTATCCACTCTTCGAGATCGCCTCAATCTGACTGTCCTAGAAAAGGAAATGGTTAAAGAGACTGAGAACACTGGAAAGAAAAGAGTGGACAGCATTGAAACGGGCGTTAGCCCCACCACTCAATTAGATGAACCTTTTGAGAGGTTTGTTGATGGGGAATTGCGGTTGACGGAGGATAGTTTGGCGGCAGATGGCACCGACTTTCTAGCTATGGACTTGGGTATCTTAGACGCAGTCTGGAATTGGGAGAGGGTGGGATTCTGATGCGATCTGATGCGAAATATCGATTCTCGATTTCGCCTCAGCACCATAGCTCATACGGAAACAACAGTATATACATGTCTAGGTGGCTTCCACAACTCAAAATCAGGGCCTTGACTTGCACGTATCGACTGTTACGTTGCCTCATAGGCTTTTGCAAACACGCCGGTCCGACCTTGATTTAACCTTGGTGGGGAGATAGCCGCCAATAGTCATTGGGCCGGAAATGCTTCACAATCATTACGCGTGAACCGGCGATGTTTGCCTTAACGTCATAATCTCGCCTGGTCTGTCAATAGGTAAAAATCGCAATTGATAATGTGTCAACAGACCGCTTAGAACGTTCAGTGCCCAGTTGAGGTTGAACCTTTTAGCTCACAAAGATAGCTAGCTGTACAGTCGACAGGGAGGATATCCTAGCGGAGTCCTACGATCCTGAACCAAAGAGGATTGATATCATCAAGAAGAGCCCAATAAGGCGGGCTGTAATCCTTTCTTGCTCAATTGTTGTTGAACTTCGAAAAGCACTTTGGAGTTGATCGCTATATATATTGCAAGAAGTTGCTTGAGGCAGGGCCCTTCTTATACAATGACTGAGATCCGCAGAGACGGACCGGACGGGGGTTCACCCCGTAGGTCAACAGTCGCGTCACAACTGTTAAGGAGCACAAGTCAGATGAGTAACTCAACTGAAGTTTAATCCTGCTCGAAACAACAGCCACTGGAAAAAACCTTGGCCAAGCAGGAACCGGATCTATGAGTTGCTAACCATTCGCCAGTCAAGGCACTGAGTTATGTCAAATGACTCCGATCTAATTGGGATGAAGGAGAGAGAAAGCAGAGTCTTGTGTGGACGAACGGGCGATCCTGCGACAAACGGAAGTTATTGCATCAAAAGTCATCTGATATGGTGGTTACTTGTCTGGGTTCCACTGGCTCTTCTGCTCTGCTAGGATTGTAGGGGGTTAATGCGTTCACAGGGAAACGCCCTCTCCTGCTCAAGTCTACACAGGCTCGTTGGCTCGGCTCGCGATTCGGCTCAACCTGCATTTATCTCCCATTCTAATTTCGCAGCATAATTTAAGACCGAATGTAGGGCCAAGTCGGCGGCTATGACTTCAAGTCTTTTTGTCATTCCCATGCTGTTGCAGCTCGTGCAAATGCGTGTGATGTAAATTTCGGAACTGCGCGGTTGAATCGCCGACTTTGGGTGGAGACATCGTCCGGAAACTCTTCCGAAACAGGAAATTGAACTAACAGGTACCTAGTCCAGAGCCTCTCAATTTCCACACATCAATCGGTAGTTTCCACACATCACTAAACTTTTACTAGTAAGGCTCGCCCCCCATAGTACCAATCCACTCTATAGACTTACTGTCACACACATCTCTCTTCCAGCAGTTATACCTTCCTACAATACTCCTTTATCTCTTCCTCTTATACCTGTCTCTCTGCATCTCTTATATAACCCTTAAGGCATGCTATATATAGGTAAGCAAGGAGGACCTCTAGCTACTTAGGTAGCTGTATACTTACTTTAGGAAGGGCCTATATGGGTTATAAAAAATACTTCCAGTCTGCTACTAGGCGGCAGCAGTGTTTACTATAACCCTTTAATGGGATAAGGTACCTAGAGTTGAGATGACAGTTTGTAGCGAGCTGTCGTTCTGACTATGGGGGGCAAGCGTTACTGGGCTAGGTTTAGTGATGTGTGGAAACTACCGATTGATGTGTGGAAATTGAGAGGCTCCCTAGTCCAAGCTATCGCTTCATTTCACGACGGAAGCTTCATGGCCAAGGCCAAAAGTAAAGCATCCCTCTCTACAGATTATTAGGTCAAGCACAGGAACGGTGGAAATAGAGTGACTTAAGTCCGAATGCAGTCAGATGATATGTGCACGTTGCCAAAGGATTTCCCCCGAGCATTGCTGTATTAGAATCATATAAAATGACCGTTGCTTTTCCGACTTGATTGCCAGTTCTCAGAAACCCTCTCGTCACACCTTTTCATCGGGTACGAGAAGAGCCTGACAATGGCGCCCCAACAGCTTAAACCAAAAAGACCTCTTACTTGGCTTATCACTGGATGTTCATCAGGGTTTGGCTTGTCACTGGCCCGCATCGTCCAGGCCAAGGGTCACAACCTCGTTGCGACTTCTCGTGAGCCTTCAAAGACACCCGACCTCATCTCTGAGATTGAAGGCAAGGGTGGCAAGTGGCTCAAGCTAGATGTCAACGACCTTGAATGCGGCAAAGTCATTGAAGAGCTCGAGGCCCAAGGTCAGGCCATTGATGTTCTCGTGAACAATGCTGGATTCTGCATATACAACGTTGCGGAGAACTTCACCGACAAAGAGGTCCGAGATCTGATGGAGACGCTATATTTCGGTCCTAGCCGCCTCATCAGAGCCGCGATTAAGCACCAGCGTCAGCGCAGGTTCGGCGTCATCGTCAATATCAGCAGTGGTGCTGCTTTGGAGGCCAATCCCTCCATGGGCGCTTATGCTGCGGCCAAAGGCGCGCTCGATTGTACGTGAAAGTCTACATTTTTGAGCCTCTGAAGGCGCGGATACCCCAGCTTACCAGAATATAGGCATGGCAAAGGCGCTGGCCAAGGAAGTTGACACCTTCAATATCCGCGTCTTGACGGTCCTTCTTGGAACCTTCAACACCAGCATGGGTAGCGCTACTATACTTGGCCAGAATCCCCTGCCCGAGGATTACAAAGGCTCGATGTCTGAAAAGATTATGGAAATGATGTCAAAGGGACAATTTGCACCGAATGGAGATAAAGATAAAGCGATGAACGCCGTTTACGAAGTGGTTGTGGGAGAAGGAATTGGTGAAAATCACGAGGCCGAAAAGGTTTTACCACTGGGTCGGGACTTGGCCGCTAGAGTTCGAACTGTGCAGGACTACTTGGCACATGCCATGGAGGTCTTTGGGAATGTTTGCAATAACGTACAGTTAGAGGATGACTGATCTAGGAATGTAGATTTGACTCTTGTTCCATAATTCATCCATCAAGCAGGAGCATTTCATTAGCATTCCGGCCCTCGGCGGGTATCTTGATGAGTGTTTGCCTCCATAGTCACACGCTGCCAATCCTAGTAATTGTGAATATCGCAAATGTCAACAAGCGGGTTATGTAATATAACAACCCATTCGATCAAATCATTGAATGTAGATTAGAACTAGAGTCGGTATTACTAGGATCTCCACAGCCATAGGCCAACCAATTCATATCACGCGGTGCAGCGTACAATGACATGACATTCACTCAGCTTCTCCATGAACTTGATAGATACATAAAAGACTAGCATATGACACTCACCCGGGCTCCAGGTAATAAATTCAAGTCCGACAGTAACTTGGTTTCCAAGACACTCACATTCTCAGCTCACTTATTATCCAAAATACCTTTGGAACGAGAGCAGCCTGTGAGGGCTCAATGTTTGCAATAGAAGACCATCATCACGGTCGTTGTATTATCATGTCGAGTTGAGCATCTGCCTCTCCCTATTAGACATGAGTGAGAAATAGCTGGGAAGACTTTGAGAGCCGATATAACTCAAGGATTGTGAATGATATAGCCTAGCAATGAAACATTCATACTTCGGATCTCCATTCATTCACTGAACTGTAGCACCTGGGGGGGCTGGAGCTGCCTCGGGGTTATCAGCCAACAAAGCCTCTACCCTTGCTCCCCGTCTTCGTCTTTCATCTAGAGAAATCTCGTCTTCGGCCACGCTGGACCAGCCAAGCCGCAATTCGGGATACTGAAGCGGAACCTCGCTGCTCTCACGAGGCAATCCGTCTAGGTAAATGGGCCACGGCGTGCCCAACCAGGCATTGCGAGATTCATGGTCTCGGCGTTGCTGTGAGGTTAGAGGATGGACAAGAATGCTGCTAGATTCGTTAGAGGCTGGGCTGCATACAGCGTACACGCTTAGGACTCTGGTAGAAAGTAGGAGGAAGAGTATGAATCCTCACCTGAGGGTCCCCCTATTTGTGGCCAGGTAGAAGAAAACATCTGAGAACGACGAGTCGGGAACCCAGACTTTGATTGAGAGTTAGCCCATGACCATGTATATCTGACTTTGCAATGCGTTAATGGACTGCCGTCATCTGTGCCTACTCTCGTACGATCCAGCAGGATGAGGGCCGAGAGGCTCATTGTTCACCCTGTGGAGAGGAACAGCAATGAAAGCACCTGTTTGATGTCTCAGTTACTAGCTTGAGGACTGGTCCAGCAGTGGCCTACCGTCGCGACGGAGTCTCAGGACAGCATCACGGAGAGCGAGCGCCGCGGCCGTCTCCGTCGGCGATTGCAGCAGAAAATAAATGTGAAAGTGCCATTCCCGAGCACGGCTTTCCACAACAGTCTGAAGGTCGTCCTGGGGTTTCAAACCCGCGAGAATGTTGACCTGAGTCATAGTAGGTGATGTGCAGATCCTTTTGTTAAACTATGCTCTTTCTCTACAATGCGTGAAGCCCATCCCAGGTCGGGTGTTGGAAGCGTGAAGCTGTCAAATGATCACACGGGATGAGAATTTGACGCCCCAAGTAGCACATGCAGTGAGCACGCCATTCGCCCTGGGTCTACACCATTACGGTGCGGATGTGTCGGCTATCTGCACTGTCCTAGTAGTGTTGCCAGCGCTTAAGCATCGCAACTGCGAGATCTCGATCCCATGGCAGCTATTCTCTCTATTGCACTATTGAGTGTTGGACAATGACCATTTTCGTGCTTCTGATATATTTAGATGCCTTTAACACATCTGCCGTTATTTTGCAAAGTCTTGCGAGAACCCGCGGTCGGCGGTTCGGCGAACTCTTCAAACATTCCTCACGCAGTTTGGCAGGTATAGGCACCGATATGAGTAGACAGGTGCTTTAGATAGTATTTTATCAGAGGAGCCTTCTTGAATCATAAGTTTAGTTCTGCTGACGGTGTGCAAAATTGCTAGCTATTAAACTTACAAAGTCGGGTTCAGACTATAATACATAGTAGGTAGAAGACTCCAGCTTATAGAGATATACTACATTGTCTTGATCTCATAACGCTACGCTGATCTTTAGCACAAGGACTTGATATAAACATCAGATTAGTACAGAGAAACCCCTTGGGCCATTCTGCAAAAATTTCCCTGCGGTCAGGTGTGTGTTATAAATGTCAATAGACCAGCCCGTCCGTATCCACTGATAAACCTGGTGTCTTGGCAATTGTCACATGTCTGGAGTAACGCTATTGCTATGTCTTGAGCCTTGCCAATCGTGCTTTTGTCCTGGCCACAACGTTTTCCTCGTTCCAGATGCCGTTCACACTAGGATGCTCCACCACAGCTGTCGCCCATTTATAGAAATTGGGGGTCTTGGCAGGTAGATCCTTGATCAGACTTTCAGGTCCGACACCGTTCTTGGGTAGAGCCAACAATCGCAGGATGAACGAACCGGTCAGCACCTACCATCCGATTAGCATACATAGCCACCGCAAAAAGCCTCTTCTTCTTCTTAGTCTTTCCCCTTTGCAGACAATTTACCTCGGCCAACGTCAATGTTTGACTTCCTCCAAAGTAAGGACCTGCATCGCCCAATAGCGGTTCCACTTCCTTCTCAAGCTGCTTGATAAACTCAGCTGCAGCTTTCTCGGCTTCTCCTTCGGAGCTCGCAAAAAGTGCCCTGTGATAGTGAGGATGTGCCTTGCTGAAGAAAGTGTCGACGAAGAAGTTGATCCTGGCGCGAGCAAGAGCTCCCTCAGGAGTGCCTCCAATTGGGATCAAATGAGAGGGATGTGCATCGGCCAAAAACTGAGCAACAATGGCGGATTCTGTGATGACATGGCCATTGTATAATAGACTGGGGACAAGACCGCGGGGATTGACAGCCAGGTATTCCGCGGTACGGGGAACGCTCAGGTCAACAGTTTCCTCTTCGAACGGTAGCTTGAGCTCAGCCAAGGCAATATGGACTCGGTGTGCCCCTAAAATCTGTGTCAGTGTTTGATTTTCCCAACTTTCACGCCGTATTCAGGCATGGATGTATTTATAGAATACTAACAGGGGCAACCGTGGTTGGTATAAAGCTTGATAGAAACGGTCATTGTGCTAGATGCAGCAGCTTTGTAGGTACGTGAAAATTTCTGCTAGCTTTAAGGCTCCTTACTGCTTTCTCGACAATAGCAACCAAAAAAGATGAGGTGGGTAGCCCTTTAATATCCGACCAATTCGCGATCCATGCGCATCTTGATGCCATTTCGCGATTTTTCCATTGTCTGACAAATACACGCAAATACCCCGCATACAGCCAACTCTCATCGAGACAAGCTGCATAAGGCACCGAGTGAGACTTGCGCTTTGGTTTGCTGAATTTTATTTAGAGATGCTGTTTACTCCACTGTGTAAGTTGCCTACCTACATATGTAGGTGTGATATGTAGGAAGTTGTAGTAATATGTTATTAGGGGCTTGAGGCTCATGGCGTCAGTGTGTGCTATTAAAACGTGCTGATTTTCGGCTTTGAGTTGTTGGAGGTACCTAGTATATTCTGCATGCTGCCTAAATACCTTACCTAGGTACCTACCCAGGTAAGCAAGCACAAATAGGTATCTGCTTAAGGTATCTTACCTATTAAGTATTGAAGATAAGTAGGTAGGTATGTTATCTAGATGTACCTTCTGTAGGAGGTCCCTGTTATAGGAGATGTTGCGCAACTCTTTGAAACAAGGCTTTAATTGTATGGTAGCTGACGCTGAAGGGTCTGCGTGCATACCCAGGTACTTTACATACCTAGTACCTAGTTTAGGTACCTATCTTTACAGTGATGCAGACACTACCTAGGTGGCAAATATGCATGAGAGCCCGGGACCGCCTGCACTCTTGATCGCGCTCTCGACGCAACCCGCCGTGAGGAAAACTGGAAGGTTGAACCGAGCCTCTCGAGAGCCATCATCTCGCCTGTACCATTTCCATCCAGTAAGCGCGCCACAGCCCTTGAGCTCTTTCTTGAGCTTATGCCCCTCGTCGTCCCAAACCCAGTCGCCGACCATCTTGACGATGTCAAACCGGTAAAACGCGGCGTACAGGGCAAAGCCGCACACCAGGTCATTTGGCCCAACTGTCGAGGTAGGCCCGTCGGCAGTGGTTTCCGTAGGGGTGTCATCCGTTGTACTAGGCTCGGCCGAGGTCGTCGTTGTCGTCGTCATTGGTGTCTCGAGCGCGGAGAAGTACGCTTCTTCATCCGCCAACATGGACGACTTCTCCTTTTCCCCAAATGACCAAGACACTCCATAGTAAGGCACAGCTGGCCCTACTGACTCAATTGGGTCAGGCGTATGGGTGGTTGTGATGGTTGTCGTCGCGGTGATGTCAGCAGCCTCGCAGTCGACCATGGTCTCGCAGAGAGTTCGCGTAGTGGTTGACCAGCTGGTAGTTGGCTTCGTCTTCACTCGCGTGCTACTGACAAACTCGGTACAATCTCGAGCCGTTTGCAGCGTTGTACAGGCCTTGCCAGTGGGCCTCCGATAGACAGGACAAGCACTAAACGGGCAGGGATCGTGGCAAAGGGGATCCCAGTCAGGGCACTCGGGGAGCTTTGGACAGTCCACGAGGCAAGTCGGTTTGGGAGGGGTTGCTGGGGTGCTTTTGGGATCGGGTTTAGGAAGAGGCTTGATGGTGAGTCGCTCGCATTGGGCGCCGAAGCAATCTCGCTTGGAGAAGCAACGTGCTCCCTGGCAGCCCCCGCTACCGCAGTCTCCGAAGAGCGTTTTGGCGCATCCGCCCCCCTTTTCGCAGTTCTCTCCCTCACAGGGCCCTCCTGTCTTGCATTTTGGTCCCTTGCAGTTGCCGCCGCTGATACATCTTTTGCCTCGACACTTGCCGCCCTCCACGCAGTTCTCGCCCTCGCAATCTCCTCCTCGCAGGCAATCGTCACTCTCGCAGTCCCGGCCCCTCGTGCATGAATCATCTTTGCAGTCAATGTCGCGGATAGGAGCAGGCGTGGGCGTTGGGTGCTGGTTATCGCCGGGGCGCTTGGTAGAAGCCGGAGTGTTGTGGGCGTTGCTTGGGTCTGGGCCGTCGCCGGGAGGCTTCTGAGTGTTGATTGGGTCTGGGCCGTCGCCGGGAGGCTTCTGAGTGTTGATTGGGTCTGGGCCGTCGCCGGGAGGCTTCGGAGTGCTGCTTGGGTTTTGGCCGTTACTGGGAGGGCGTGGAGTACCGCTTGACTGCTGGCCGTCCCCTGGACGTCCTGACGAAGTCGAAGAGCTCGGAGTGTTGATGGGATGCTCGTCATTATCCGGAAGCTTTGTCGGAGCCGGGGGCTTGGGAGTCAGTATCGACGGAATTCTGTAGCTGAGTGTGGGATAGAAGGTAATAGGCAGCAGATAGCCGGCCCCGTCATCCGATGTGGTACTGGTGGCCTTTGCAGGTTTTGAACTCGGTCCCGAACTCGATCCAGGCCCTGATCCCGGCGAAGCCAAGTGGCCTCCAGTGACAGTCCAACCATCGGGAATGCGAATCGTAATGGGATCTGGCGTGATCTGAGGGGTCGGGTTATACGTAATCATTTGTCCATCACTTTTACTGAGGAGATCCGGGTAATCGATGATGAATGGCTGGTAGCTGACTTCGGAGATGGAGAAAGGCGCAGAGACCACAGAGGTGCTCAACTTCGTCCCGGATTGGAGAGTAAGCGTTGTATATGCCGTGAGGGTGACTGTGGTCGAGAGAGGCGATGGCTGGAGTATGTTTGTGCATCCGATGGCTGCTTCGATGGAAGGGTTGACCCAGTCCCAAATCATGTTGTCGAAGACATTGATACAGCCGGTTTCGTTGGCCCCCGGTCCTCCCTGTGGTGGTTCGGTATGATCCGTCACGTTGAACTCCTGGAGGTCAACCGCCCAATCAACGGTCCCGAGGAAGTTGAGCCCTTTCCATTTCTCTCGGCGGCTTTGCTTCGTCTTATCGGACATGTAGGCAACCCACTCAACATCTGCGTCGAAACCGGTCAGCATTGTGAAGCCGTACGACTGGGGAAACGTGCGCTATGTAAAGAACTTACCATTGTATACCAAGTAATCCGACGCTGTGTCCTTGTCATACCATGTCTTCGGATGACCCTTGGACTTGGAGATGATCTCGTTGATCTCTGCATTAGCGAGGTATCCTCGAGCATTTGTGCATCTCCCCGCTGCCGCCTCCGACTTCCCGTTGGCACCAGTGAACTTGCATAGAGGGCCCGTGCACCCAGCTTTAGCCATCTTGAAGGACCTCCCGTAGCTAGATTCGCCAACAACGACCTTGCTGGCACTGACTCCAGCCTTGGTAACTAAAAGGGACGCGAATTAGCGCGGCACCGCGTGGGTTTAAAATGTCCGCGCAGTGCGAGAGGGGAAAGATTCCAGTCAGACTTACTCATGGAAAGGGCCAAAACGACCTCTGTCTGATTGACGTGGCTTCTCAAGCAATTTCCGCTAGGACACTCGGACATGGCCCACGTATTCCCAACATCCCACTGGCCTGTTCACTGAGGTTAGTCGTTGAGTCTACCTAGTGACGATGAGCGAGAAGCTTTTTCACTTGCCATGAAGATCATACGCCATGTAGACAATGTAGTCAACAGTTTCTGACATTTCCCGGATTGGAAAGGGTCTCAGATACCAATAGGATGCAGGAACGGCGATGGACAGGGAATATTTGGAGGGTAGGGCTTTTCGCAGGGCGCGAAGAGTCTCAAGGTAGTTGGGGCCATCCGAGGGAAGGCCTTTTGGAATACCCGGGATATCGGGTGCCTGGACATGTGAATTGCAGAGTTAGTTGAAAAGGGGAGTCTGCCACTAGCAGGATGGAGATCCAACTCACGCCAGGATATTCCCAGTCAAGATCAATGCCATCGATGCCCATTTTCTTTGCGAAGGCGACAACGTTTGACACAAAATGGCCGCGGTTCTCGGGGGTCATGGCTTTGCGGAGGACATCATATGACGCGACGCCGGTTGAAAAACCCCAACCGCCGAATGATACGATTCTCTTGACATTTTTCAAGCCCATGAACCCATCCCACTGGTGGTGCGTATCGTTAATGTAGACCGAAAAGTCGCTCTTGATATCTCCAAATGCCCAGTGCATGTGGGTGTACTTGTCGGTGTTGGAAAGCTTCGACTCCATGTGCAAGCAAGGGCGCTCCCAGTTGAAGGCTTCGTAATAGCCGATGCGCCGGAACCCGCCTGATGGGGGTTTGGCGTTGTTCACAATGCCGGTGCCGCAGTTCGAGATGCACCCATTGGAGCCAGCCGGCGCCGTTCCGGGGTTTCCCGTGGGTCCGTCCGCCTTTGTGCAGAAGAGAGCATCGATTCCACATTGACCCCAAACATTGCAGCAGGAGTTGAGCGGGCACGGGTTGAGCTTTGCCAGTTCGAATGCGTCCTTGACTGACTCAGGTCTGACGGTTCCCGGCTTTTGGGGACCACAAACTGCATTGGACACAGGCGCGGGCATCGGCGGCGACCCCTTGCTGAGGCAAATCTTGAGACCGACGGTCAGATTGGGACATCCCCTCCACCCCCAAGTCACCTTCTGGTTGAAGCCCTCAATATCCTTTGGTGTCAGATTCCACGGCATGCCAATGGATGAACAGTCGTCACCCGCTTTGATCGTGTAGCTAAAGCAGTCTCCATTGGCCTCAGGGAGCGGTTTGCTTGAGCCAGACGAGCAGCAGATATTCCTTCCCGCCTGCAATTTCCTGCACCAGTCGTTTCCGTTCCCCTTGACTCCGTTATACTTGAAAAAGTCGGCGACGGAAACCTTGCAAGCTTTTGCTATAGAGGCACACGAATCGCCAGCGGCTATTGTCCTCATCTTGCAGTATTTGCCATCAACCTTGCTGTCCAAAGCCTGAGCCTTTCTCCCGGGTGCCTCAGCCAATGATATATTTGAGGCTTTGGCATTGATTGACGGGAGAGGAACCTGGCTGATGACAAGCTCGCGTAAGGTGGTACCTGACTGGGCCTTGGCACACTCGCCCTGATTCCAGGACAGCAGCGCCGATTGAACGCTGCCGATGTCTGCTTTGAGGGCCACTGCCACTCCCGCAGTGTGGTCCATGTCGCTATCGTGGTCGCAGATCTGTGCCAGCATACCGAAGGGGGCGGAGCCCTGCTCTTTGTCCTCCTCAAGCAGGTAATCAACAATGGACGGGATGGTGGCTGAGGACAAGGCCTTTCCGGCGTAGGTGCCAACAACCGCCCCGTCAAAATAGCCGAGCATAATGTTGTTGTCTCCGGTACAGCCAGAAGTAGCCACGGCCTTCTGCCTGTATTCCTTGAGTCCCTCGAGTATGGTGACCAGGCCGTTGCCGAATGGAGCGGTGGCTTGACCAGGATTCTGCGAAATAAGCAGCGGGACTTTAGATTCCACGAAAGAGCCACCGCAAGCTTCCGCTTCTCTCTTGACAGTGCTCGCCATTGGCTGAGATCCCCCAGCTGCTGGGGAGGTTGTGCAGGCACGAATCAGCACGGAGTTGGTCTTGTCGTTGATAGGAGTATGGATCGCCAGGTCAAAGAGCACGGGTTGGTCGCATTGCGAGAGCCGCTCGAATGAAGAGTATACACTCCATTGCTCAGGAGACTTATCCGAGCAAGCAAGTGGACACAGATTCAGTTGGGACTGAAAGGCGTCTACTTCGTTCGCAGTTGCCGAAACGCCATGGAAGCTGACTATCGCAGTGGCCGAAGCAAGCCAGCAAGCAATGCCCCCAGGACTAATCCAAGGCATATTTCCGTTACAGAGAAAGGATCAGCGCCAAAGACAGTGCATCCGATCTTAACAAAGGGTGAAGAGATATCCTAACAGGCGTTTCTTGTTAACGAAGTATTAGCCTTCGTTAAGACGTTGATTGCTCGCTGTTGGCATCAAGAGCAGCGCATAAATCGAGGTTATAACTCTCTTGATCGAACCTCTTCCCCACCTTACAACTATATATAACATGGAACTTGTCATGGTCTTGATAAATTGCAATTGCTCCTCTTTTTCTCTCCTTATTTTTCTTTCTTCTTCTTTTCTAATCTCCTTTTTTTTTATTGTCTCCATTTCAGCGTTGGTTGTTGGGCTATTATTCGCGGCAACTTTACCCTCTTCCAATATTGCCCGAGCTCAAGTGCTCCAGGGGTATAACAATAACTTGGAAGCTATTGTGAATAACAATGCACTGGCCTATGCGTAAATTCCCTTTCGGCATTGTCAACATTTTAGAAGCACGGACTACACGTGCATGGATCTTTCAAGTGGAGCATATTTGCTTCAGAACATGTCTACTCCAGGCTTCTCATCTCCAGGTGGTCCCCAGCAACTTTATACATATAATGCCCGTCTATGTATCATGTATGAAGCCGGATATCTGCATCCACTATACCGGTCTCTCTCATGCTTCTTGGCTGCCAGCTAGCAACCATGGCAGGACCGCTTTGTTTCTTCGTTCAGCTATGCACGCTTCTGGCCCTTACGCTGGGCACCTCGTCTATGGCAGCTGGCCTTCCGAGGGCCAACACCCCGTCCATCCTCCCGAGAGAAGAGAATGCTAAGCGAGACGTCGTTATGGATTGCTCAGAGTTTCCGTTGTTCAAAGCTTATCTTCAGGACGCGTTTGTAGAGGCCGAAACTATAGTAAGAAAACCTACATCTTACGCGTGGCTCCCAGTCGTTCCTGGAATGAGTGTTCACCTTTATCATAGATGGCAAACGCAGTACAAGAACTAGACCTCCTCATTAGCTTGTTCGAAAAAGACGGCTCTGGTAAACTGTTGCCTGGCAAAGAACTTAAAAAGGGTCGAACCTTTGACGAGGACAATGTCTTCTCCTCCTACAGCTTTTTCATCTACAGGCTTGCCGAACCCAGTAAGCCAGATAGGCACAGAGACGCATACCAGGCAGTTCTTACCACGCATGGCAAGTACACTCCAAAGCAGTCCGCCCTATTGACTCTATCTGACGCTCTCTTGATCTCTCAGCTGTGGCACAAGCCATGAAAGCCGCCTTGAACAAGTATAATACGGGACAGCCCGACCCCGGAGCCGAAAACTTGGAGGTTTACTGTGACGAAACAGAGTGGTTGTTTGAGAGAAAACTTGACGGAATGAACTTTACCGATCGTAAGACCCCTAGCTTTGTATCTGCACGAGAACTTGATTCGCTGACCATGTCCGGTTTATCAGAGTACAAGAATGTAGGAAACCGTGAGTTGTGTCACAGATACCTAAACCGCACGAACAAAAACTGATCTACTTTACACCCAACAGCCATCTGGGATCGTCAGCAAAATGGGTGGATGTGGTATGTAGCACGGATGGCATCACCTTACAGCAAGGAAGCTGGCACACGTACTTGGTCCTCGGTGTGGTGGGTGTGTCCCAGCACAGTGAAAAAGCCCGACGACCCGCCGGATAAACGATATCGACAGTTCGGGAGCCTCACTATTGAAGTTCACGAAAATTTGAATGGATATGTAACGGGCGAAGGAGAGCGCGACAAGGAACAGGTCATGACTATCTGTCCGGCATATCACGAGGTTTTCATGAGGAAAGTGGTCAAGAGTATCTCCGACGGTCTCGATATAACACGATTACATGTCCCTCGGGGTAAAAATCCCACTGCATATCAGAAGGCGGCATTGGAAACAATGCAGAGGCAACGCTTCACTATCGAGTGGCTTGGCAAAGGCCTCGTCCCAACCCTCATTCACGAATTAACACACGCGAGGGCGTTCACCCCCCCCGGCCGAACTCTCAGTAAGTCCACGATTATCACGCCTACTGTTATATACGCTGACGCGTCTCGATATAATAGACGACATTAAATGTAGGAAACATAATAATCACGATACAGCTATGGATCACAACTGCCTCTTTGAGGTGGCGAGAGGGACAGACGGGTTGGACGAGAACGGCTTACCCCAGGGCCACCTAGATGCTGGTGAGATGCTGACGGACCCCAGCCCAACTCCCACGTTTATACTGACCACGTCACCACGTAACAATAGAAGCGTTTGCCATATTTTCTATGGGTAAGTTACTCACTTTTTCGCCTACAAACTCGCGATTTGCGGCAGATATACAGTACTGTATCCCCAACATTGATTCTTGTGCTAATCCGCCGCTCAACTCTTCAGCAATGTGGGTCAATAGCGCAACATGGTGGAAGAGTTACGAGGCAAGGCGCAGAACCAAGGAACCGCCCGCGCAAAAAGGTTAATACACCCTACCAGCATCACAAAGGTTAGCTCTGCGCATTGCGAAATACCAGAGTTTAGTGTCTTACAACTTCTTTACCCATACTATGACCTATACTGCTCCACAGGTTGCTCTACCTGTGGCGGCTTTGGTTGAATCATACCGAGCTAACCTTTGTGATACCTGTAGATTGTAAATATCCCTTCCTAAGTAGCCTACTATGCAAGGGTTAATGGATGGGAAAACGAAAGCTTGCACTATAACCCCAGCAAGCGGAGGACGGAATAATAGGGAGAGATCCAATATTGAATAACCAGTTAGAGTGAGTGCATATCGTTGTAGTCCACCTATGATAGTCATTGGTATGCGAATAGTCTTAAATGTATGCTCTTACTTATTTTGCGGTCCCTATTTTTCTGTCCCCCGCTTGCCAGCCTAGATAGCGCACGTGCAATTCCCCAATGTTACCAGCTAAAGTAGGTATCCAAGCGCAAGAAACAAGCTGAAGAGGACTTAGCTTTTACCCCAGCTTTGCAATAAACCATATGGACTCGTAAACACACCCGAGATGCACTACCTTCCATGCCTACAGTTATAGCTATCTACTTTTAGCGAACATAAGACCAGACGGAGCTGGTCCCGAACTTATAACTTGCAATAGGAGCCGAACGAAGTAATGCAAATATAAACTTCCACCTACCCACCAAAGGCCAAAGCCAAGGTAAATAACAACAAACTGATTTTCACCTATCAGATCGGACTTCTACCTACCTATACATACATCTGAGTAGCAGAAGCCTACTAATGCGCATGCTTAGGGGGCAGAGATGCTGGTTGTAAATCCTGGATCTGTACCGCTCGACCCAGTTGCTCACCCAATAAGCATAGGTAGGTAAGCAAAGTCTATCTAGGGAGAAGCCTTCTTAGTATCATTAGTTATGCCAAACGTTGTTTAGCAGCCATGAAACTCCGGCCCACTGCTCTTTGACAACTGGCCAGATGTCTTCAGGAGGCAGAACAAAACCGCCTTGGCCAGAGGTCACCGGGTCCAGCTCCAGAGTCCAAGAATGGTCGGCGCCGTAAGCGCCGTAGTGGTGATCGCGGCCGTTGCCAGCTGAGTAGTACTCGATGTCGCATCCAGTACCGTACTGATAGGTCTCGTTGCGGCTATCGTATGCTTGCACTGCGTTTGCAAAGCCTCCGCCGACCTCAAGCATGCGAGGAAGCGTGGCGGGGTATTGCGTGGTGTTGCAGGTCCATCCAGGCGGTGTCAGAATCTTCTGGCCGTAGCTATGCAGGTCAATGTAGGAGCGGATTCCCCTTGGCGATTTTCCAAGTTTGTCAGAAAGTCCGGATACTGCAGCGTTCTCGGGAGTATCGCCAGGGCTGAGTCCTTGGAAAGTGCTGTCGCAAGGATCGGTAGACGCAGCACCAGTGCCCGGTTCGCCGCCCCATTCAAACCTCCAGTTACGGTTCAGGTCAGTGCCCACGCAAGTGGTGTTGCCCCGAGGCAGTCGATTCTTGCGCCACATGCGATCCGTAGTTTGCGTGTATGAAAAACCTGCATATAAAAAACCTACATTAGCGTCTATCCAACCATACCGAGTAGACACGATGGTCTAAACTCACCGTCTGGGTTATGGAAAGGGACAAGCCAAAAGTCATAGTAGTCTAAGAATCTTGTGATTTCCTTGTCTTTGATCCTGTATCCGTTGATAAGTTGCCACGCCCAGTATTCAATCACCTGACGCCATTACGATTAGAATCATACTTCCCCACAAGCTTCTTCAGAGATGCTCATCAATCATACCAAGGTGGTAATCCACTCTCTGGCGTGGACAGTGGCATGCCATAGAATGATGGGCTTGTTCGCCGTCTCTCCCTTATCTCCAAATAGGTGAAAGGCATAGATGGTGCGATTCTCATATGAGGTGCCAATGTCGTATTTCTCGCTGTTCCTGGGAAACGCCGCAACGAGGTCATCCCAATACTGGAGATGATCATCATAGTCGTGATAGGTGTCATACCATGTCAAGTCTGGGAGTTCGCCGGCTTTGTGATGCCCGCGATTGTAGGTTGGGGCCTTGCGCTCCCGTCGAATGAGTTTCCCAAGATCATCGCTGAGAAGCTGTGCGGCGAGACCCAGTTTGTTGAAGCTCTGGATCTCGTTGGGAGGAATTGCCACCTCAAACCCGCGGCTGGTGAACTCCGTAGGGTAGGCAGCGAGATTTGTTGCAAGGAATTCGGCCTGGCTCCTGTCTGTCGTTGTCACGCTGTAGACATGATATCCGTCGTAGCTGACTTTCTCCGAACGCGGGCCGGGTGGTGAGTCTCCTAAGGCAGCACGCGAGGCTACCACTTGGGCCAAAAGAAACAAAGTCGTCAGAAGCTGCATAATGTGAAAGTCAAATCATGTGCCGCACTCTATTGACTGAGGAGCCCAAGTATTGGGTTGAGGGAGTAGATAAGGAGCTCTTTATACTTGCCACTTGTTCTCCATCACTCAGCGGTTCTGCTTTGTAAGTATTGCCCCAGGATCATAACATAAGGTACACATGATGCAAAATTTGAGAACCTCGATTACAACATAGACGGTGAAGACAAATGAGGAATCCTGTCGGGTTATCACGCAATTATTGAACTCCTCATTGGGTAATATCGTGCTCCATCCGCGCCATCGCCAGGGGTTCTGAACCTTGGTTGAATTAACGGTTCTGAACCCCGCAATGTCGCCGTTGCTAGAGGCGATTATAAGACTACAACAACTGCAGTCCTGCCTTTATATTAACAGCGACTGAATACTGACAGATAGACCCAGATTCGGCATGTATGTATATTTCAGCCGGTAATATTTAGCCCAGTCTACATGTACCTCTTCGGTCTAATCTAGGCTCCCACTGGTTAAATAGGCATGGTAGGATCTCACAATTGAGTTGATTAAGTCAGAGTCTGCGACTCTGGCAATTGTGCTCGGTATTCACCTCAAGTGTTGAGGGGCTGAGGTCTTTCAAGTATTGGAGTAAAATCCACATTAGTCAGTCTGAGAAATAAAGGGAGTATGTAAGTTTAAGAGAGCTAGGAGAGGAATTCGTTAGAAAGAACTCACTCTGGGACGCACAAGGTATCACGCAAGGCTCCTTGGGCGGAGTGCTATTCGCTACGAACAATATCAAGTTCCACTTCGGGTGGTTGGTGCTAGAACTGGAACAAACCCCTTTTGTATTATGATGTGCTGAAGCAATAAGTGAGAAGATAGACTTTGACATAGCAACCCGCAGTAACAAGCTGAGTGGCGGAGTTCTCGCTTTCAACCAGCGACTAAAACCGACAGGACGTTTCTATAAGTATTTAACCTTCTTCCCTTCAAGCTCCTTCGTGTCCCAGCACTTATAGATGCATTGGCTGAATAGCCATCTCCGCTCTTCTTGATTTATTACGCAAATGTGTGAGCTACTTCTGGCAGATTACCCAGTCGGTAATACAGCCATCTGGCATGCCCAGAACCAAGTCTGTAGTTACGCTGCCATAATGTAGTTTTATTGCAACTAAACCTTGTTTCTAGGGGTCATGTCAAAATGTTTAATGCTATAAGCTGTGGCATATATTATAATGTGGTTACCTGAGATACTAGGTATATATTCTTACTATTACTTACAACCAGCGAGGTAAGTAGCGATGTTAGGATAAGTGCCTGTTAGGTTGACGTTCTATAACGTTTACCAGTCGGCAGACTCAGCCATGTTTGAACTAACTTATATTCTTCAGGTAGCCGGCATGATCTTTGCACAGACTAAGAACATAAGGATATCACATAGTATAACATATCTTGCATATTTTACCCTTTGGCTCAGTAAGAAGGCTACGAAAAACTGAATAGGAGATTCAAGAGCCAGTAGATTTGAGTCTCTCTATATTCGGACAGTAAATTGAACGGTCTCGGGTTTTCAGGAGGCAATTGCAGTTAGTAAGTCAAACTTGGACCTCAAGAAGACAATGTTAGTTCTAATCGTGACTCTTCTTTATTATAAAACACTAGAACACTCTACCTAGAAAATAATCAGACAACAGAGAGACTCTAAGTCCTGTCATTTTAGAAAGTTCCAAACATTATTCAAGCTCTCTGCCAGTGAAGGATGGGCCCATATTGCATCCCTCAATGCCGTCCATTTGACCCCCCCAATCATCGCCATCTCCACTACACTCATTATCTCACCACCCTCAATTCCCAAGCAGGTGAACCCGAGAATCCTTTGAGATTCACTGTCAACAATTGCTTTCATCAAGCCTCTAGCCTCAGCCGTTTCCAGCGCTCGTGCAACATATGACATGGGCATGCTAGCAACCTGCAGTCTGCGACTTGGATATTGCTTACGAGCCTCGTGCTCGTGAAGGCCGACATGGCCAAGTTGCGGATCAGTGTAGACAACGTACGGCACAAGACGCTCGGCCACCGTAAGGTTTCCCTGCTCGAGCAAGTTGGTGCGCAGCAAGCGGAAGTCGTCGTAAGAGACATGTGTAAACGCGGGCCCACCTTTAACATCGCCAAGAGCCCAGACGTGACGGTTGGTTGTACGTAGCTGTGCGTCGGTTATAATATGGCCGCGAGCCGTTGTCTCAATACTAGCAGCGCCAAGATTCAGCATCTCCGTGTTGGGTACACGACCAGCGGCGAACAGGACATGAGACGCCTGTAGTTCCGACAGGCTGCCCTGACCTGACACTGTGACCAACACGGCGGACGCGGCCGTGGAGTCTCCATCGCCAGCAGGACGGATCGACGTAGGGGTCGCATTCAGAAGAACCCGGACACCGTCCTCCTTCAGCACGCCAAGCATGGCTTCGGCGACATCCGTATCTTCGCGAGGAAGTAGTTGTGCCCCTCGTTGTACGACAGTAACAGCAGCACCCAGTCGGCGAAAGAGCTGGCCGAATTCGAGGCCGATATAGCCGCCACCAATCACCACGAGATGAGAGGGCACAACCCCGAGCTCCTGTATCGTGGTTGAGTCGAGTAGAATGCTAGGTGGGAAAGCAGCCACATCGAGCCCATCAATCTTTGGTATCGCCGGGCGTTCTCCGCTGCAGATGAAGACACGATCGGCAGTGAGGTTCATCTCCGGACCGTCCATAGTGCGTACATGAACCGTCCGCTCATCCTTGAAACATGCGGTGCCAAAGATCAGGTTGACCCCGGCTTCGCGTATTCTACTTTCACTACCAGAACGAAATTGGTCGACGATGTCGCGCTTCCGCTGCCTCACGACCTTCATTCGGACCTTGATATCGTTCTCTGTAGAATCTGTTTCATCACCGGTGAATATCCCATACTGAGGACCCCGTCGCGCTAGGTAGCCAACTCGTCCAGACGCAACCATAGTCTTGGTCGGGGTGCATCCTTCGTTGACGCAGCAGCCACCAACATGCGAGCTCTCAATGAGGGCGGTTTTATGCTGCGCATTCGCGAAAGCCATGCTGAGCGGCGTGCCGCCTTGGCCAGAACCAATGATGATGGCATCATAATGGGTAGACATGGCTCGAGAGTTCTCTGCTTGTAGAAAATGTTTCGCCTTGAAAACTAGCCTTGAAGCTGTGGAATATGCAACACCACGCATGAATGCTTACAAGGTGTAGGATAATAGAAGCTGGAAAATGAATTAGACCTGAAAAGAAAAATAAATGACGGCGGCGGAGGCTTCCCCCTTTTTGTAAGCGTGACGACAGCTAAGATAATCTCGCGAAGCGGCCATTACAGCGTGCCAAACTGGGATCGAAGCACATGGGCCCCTTATTTGGAATGTCCAGCAATAGACTTCAGATGCGGAGGAATAGTGCGTCAGAGGCGGTGGAGTTTCGATCGGAAGCCTCAGTCGATTTCAGAGTTGAAACATGCCTCCCCTCTGCCTAATGTAGGTACTAGCTCATCAACATTCCAAAAGGTCCCGTCCTCGTAGCAGGCTCCCTCAAGATAAAGCCCTGGAACTGCGCATGAAGAAGAACACGGCAATTTGCGTCTGGATCTCGGGCGCCTAAAGCAAAGTGCCGACTGGAAGGATGGTTTGTGTTGAAGCCCATTGTAGGTTGCATCCTAGGATACGGCATAAGTGCATGTGGTTGGCTACCTATATCATGGAGTCGCCCGGTTTATATGCAACCAAGGCTACCTTACTCTTGAGCAATATTAGCGTGACACGTAGTGCTTTACTAAAGATAGATAGGTTCCTTAGGTCAAGTATGCCTAAGGTACCTACCTAGTAGCAACGCGCGACTTCATCTTAATCTTCAGTAAAGAAACGTCAGCGAATTACCTAGGTACTTAGGTAGCGATAAAATTAATACCCATAGGTATACTGCCCTAGGTAACCTAGATGTAGGTACCTAAGTAATCAAGGCTTCTTCAACCTATTCTCTTAGCCAATAGGTATTAATTCTAGCGCCTTGTAATGATCATACCTTTAGCGATGTCCGATGACCCCCTGGTCTTAATCTAATGCCATCTTGCGATTTGCATATGTGTCTTGGAATTAGATTGGACATGATACCTGAAGGAACCGGGTCACTAGTGCTGTCTGGTGTTGGAAATGGTCCCAAAAATCGGAGTGTCTGCTCTGCTCTACTCTATGATGAAATGCTTTAAGGAACCTTCCAGGCCTTGGACTTCATAAAGTTTGTCCTATTTGTTCTGAAGAGTACGACTGCTGGGACGAAGGTCCATTCAGCAGCGTAGTCGTCCTCTGCATTCCAACCTGGCACTGTCACCCTAATGTCTGCGTTGATTGCATATGTGTAGTGAGCTGCACGGGTCATTCTAAGCTGTTAGGAGTAATGCGAGCATGCAGGTATCTTAGTATCGGGCACCTATCTTGATAGCAAAACAACGCTATGTCATGAGCGGACATGTCAGTAAACACTTAAGGTAGTAGCGTATCCTTTCAGCCACCTCAAGTCTGTTAGTACACGTCTCACGGTGCTGTTGGCCGTTGCTTGGTGAGCCTTATGCGCCGATATCTAAAGCAGGATTGCCTCCAGCTCCGAGGACCGATAACTCCAGAGCTCTTTTGCCCCTCCATGGGCGACCTTCATATGCTGTACTGAACAAACTGCCGAAAGTGGCACTGGTTCCATCGTCTGTTGCACACTAGCATATGCATTTGTAATTCGCAAGAAGCAGATCCAAGCCCTGGTCACTACAGGTCGCATGGTTATGTGTGACAGAACAAAAACACTCTTGGAGGCTCTCGGGCATTGAACAACGGCAAGTCTCGTCAGGCGCTCGCCAAAGCCTATTGAGTGGCGTTAATCCGCTGCGTCAACCATGCTTGGATATGTTCCGACGTTGTCATGAGTGGTCCATCCCACTGAGTCTCACCCTCACTTGCACTAAGCGGTTGAAAAGGAGCTTCCACCATCACATATCGAAAAGGTGGATGCTGACTTTTCACTCATGCTCCTTTCAAGGCATATAGAGTCGCTCAACATCAACATCCTGTTTTCGTTATAGAGGAAATTGGGCTATATGTGAGTTCTTTAATTCCATTGTAATCGTAATGTGTGAATCCTGGACTCCAATGCATGAGAAGACGTCCTCAATCTGCGAACGGCTGATACCCGCACCCCAAAGCTACGCGGTTGAGGTTTTGGTTTCTTTACACAACCTCTCGTAGCTGGCCTTTGCAATTTTGTCTGTCCTATTAACGTACTTGGCATCGGATTGCCGGTACCTGAGAGTAGTTAACGGGACTGTACGCCCTGTAGTAGACGTGCTCGATTGCTGCCAATTTCAGCGGTGCGGTGTGGCCGTCGATTCGACGGAATTAGGTACCTATGCATTTGCAAGGCAAAGTACTTGGAGGGAGGTGCAGAAGTCAAGTATTCCGTCACTGTCGATAAAGCGCGCGATAGCTATCCCTCTGCAGATCTGGAGTCCCAAAGGAAACTGCTTGGCCGTTTGCGAGTGATACTCTGGAGCGACGAGATAACAGCGATAGAGAGCATGAATGGATATCTATTTTCGCATGCCATATGATATTCTGCAGCCTACATACTTACAGTCACGATATCGCCAAACCCGGACATACCTCAAAGCATTCAGCTAGTACCTTAGTACTAATAAATACCCCACCGTACCTACCTTATGACAAGCTGAATCGGGTCGTCGGACTTTAGTTACTCCACTCGCAAGAGATTGCCAACGCACCACAGGCGGCGAGAGAAATTTTAACACGACGCGTAAATGAACCGCCATCCAACCGTACCTCAAAGAGCGTATCGAGAACTGTCAAACTGAGCCCTGTATCTTGTTCCAGATATCGCTGCACTTGGAACTCAATGGCACACTCTAAATCTGCAAAGCGAAAGCGGAATGGCCAAGTGCAGATCCCTCAAAAGCATATCAAGGTCGAAAAGGCCACATCGGCTGTGGTCCCGCCGCCTGAAGATGAACGATTCGAGATCAAGCGTTTAGAAACAGTCATCTCGAATGAGGAGCTTGACATCACGATTGAAACACTTACCACTCTAGCGCAGCACCCGAGCTTGACGAAGTCGAAGCTCTGCAGGAACCTGAGGACGGCTGTATACGACTTTCGCCAATCCTGTACCACCGGTGTCAATGCCACCAGTGAGTCCGGTTCTTTTACCATCAGCGAATGGCGAATCTAATGTGTTCCTTAGAGGATGGTGCTAACCTGACGGCGCGTGTGTCTGCCGCACTTGCTGACGAAAAATTCCTTGAGGCGAGAATCTTGCTTGCTGAGATGCGACTCCGAGGAGAAGAGCCTAAACTCGGCGCGCTGTGCCGTTGGGTGCGAGATCTCGATGTTGTCACGCAGCCAAAAGGCGTGAGCATCGATAATCCAAAACGGTCGCCCAAGGATGAGGAACTCCTCAGGGTACTTGACGCTGTCCTTCGTGTCAGCTGCCCGGTCGATCACAGCGTCGGTCTTACAGAGCCGCTCCTCGGCTCTTCCCCTCGAATAGCCTTTCAAGCCACATGGGATGTGCGCCCCCCTGTCCTGCCTCAACAGGTTTACAACTCTGTTTTGGATAAGACTATCTTCTCTTCCGTACCAAGCTCAGTCGCTTCTTCTCTTCGCATCATCGAGACCACACCTGGCCACCTCCGCAACCCCCCCAATTACCATCCGGCCATCCTATATGCTTCTCAGCCGAATACCGTACCGCTTTCACCGGAGGCTCCCCAAATAACACATCACAAGCATCCCAACGTGCCCAATCTTAGTCTCGCGACGAATGTTCTCTCGCCTGAAGAATGCAAAGCCATCATTGCCGTGGGCGAAACGGTCGGCTTCCTCCCAGACACGCCAATACGTGAGGGTGGCGATACCAGTGTTTTGGCACACAACTTCTATTGGATCATCGATACCGCATTTCACGACAAGCTGTGGTCGCGTATCGCTCCGTTCGTGCCACCCTCAATTGACGGCCGCTTAAGTCGTGGCCTGAATAGACGTTTTCGTGTGTATCGATATGTTCCCGGTGCGGAATATCGATGCCATATCGATGGTGCTTGGCCGCCGTCCGGCATCCAACCGGACGATACGTATGTGTACGATGATTCGCCTGCAGGAAAGAAGCAGAGCTCGCTATTCACTTTCTTACTCTATCTCAACGACGAGTTTGAAGGAGGTGAAACAACGTTCTTCATGCCAGCATCCGTTGAAGGCACGCTTAATGCCTACAGAGTGCGGCCAGTCATAGGCGGCGTCGCGATATTTCCACATGGAGAGACCCGAGGGGCTTTGCTGCACGAAGGTTCAAGCGTGACAAAGGGCGCCAAGTATATCATACGCACAGATATTGAGTATGACATAGATCCATCACCATAGGGCCCGGACATTTTTGTACGTAGAAACCTCAGTATATTGTACCCTGACGGCAGATTATTCGTGGTTTGTATTGCTCTTTATTCAAGACGAGAAACTGCGACGGAGGAGCCAAGTGACACAATGCTTGCAATTTTATCTTGAGATATTTACTGATTCGGGCTATATACTTGGTGGCACCTCTACAGCTTGCCTCTTAGGTACGCACCGCCATTCTATATACAAACAGTAGGTCGGGTATGTACGTTGGATGTGCGGGTCTCCACTTGAAGAAGACCTTTAATGGGAAATCCTGTCTCCGAGCTCTTATGGTCACAAAGCTTAGTCGACGTTGCAGCGTCCGTTGGTGCAGACAAGGGCGTCAGAACAATCATCGTCCGAACCGCAGCTGGCACCTTGGCAGTGACCTGCCCAACTGCAAGACGATGGAGGCGGAGTTGAACCGCTGCCCGAACCTCCACCACATACGCCACTGATACAAGTAAGGTCATCGGAGCAATCATTGTCTGAGCCACAGCTGGCACCTTGGCAATGACCTGCCCAACTGCAAGTGCCACCGCCATTGCCCGGGTCACTGCCGCCGCCATTTCCGGGATCGCCTCCACCTCCATTGACGGGACCGGTTGGCTGCCCTGGGGCGTTGGTGTCAAAGTTATACAGAGTCTCGTCCAGAATCTGCCAAGAGATGTCGATATGTCCGGCGTTGCATGCATTCGAGTTTAGGGAATCAAGAGCCGAAAAGCTGAAATCCAAGCCAGGAGCTCCATTAGGATTCCATTGAGTGTTGGAGGAGGATCCGGTACCACATCGCTCACAGCCGTCACCGATGAAGAATGGCGTGCTGGAAGGCTGTCCATTGACGCTGACCACAACCCGTTTACCGCAAAACTTGGCTAAGTTTCCAGCCAGAAGGGTGTGGTTCATAGCAACAAGGTTGTTGCTATGGACGTTGTTCAAGGTCCAGGGGAGGAACTGACTGCATTCGACAAAGCCCGTGTTCATGTTCGTGAAATCGTTGAAGCAGGATTGCGGGTGCTCAATATCGTAATAGTAGGTTCCAAAGCCATTTCCGGAATTAATAACTGACTGCCCAAGTGCTAGCTTGGCTAACATGCTGACAGACGCGACAGTTTCGGCCCTCATATTTGCAAGTTGCTTGATGGATATTGTAGAGAATGCTGGAGGAGCTCTGGGAAAGATTGACTTGTTTAGGGGAGGAGTGCTGCCAGTAGTTGTTAAGATGAGGTTGGAAATGCTCTGATATTTATATTTCCACAGGTACAAAGAACACTGCGAGTGATAGAGAACAAACGGCCCGAAGCAACATACGAGGGATTGAAGCAGCATATGATCTAACTGAGCAAAACCCTTACACATAATAGCTTGATATAAGCTTACGAATACCATCTTCCTGCCCTTCTAGGCAAAAGAAACAAGCAACGAGCTCAAACATGCTGCTAGGGACACCATGCATCCAGGTATTACACTCGTTAATGGAAATGCATAGTATTCTGCCTTCCTCTTTGGAAGAACAACTTCCAATCGCGCGTTAGACATATGACAACCGGGCTCCATCCAGAGCGAGTTATCCTTGCCATCCAGAAATTATCTGCCCCACCTACGGAGTAAGTACTGAGACTGAAACTGTCCTTCTAGAACCAGATGACAGCACCCTAAATAGGTACGCAACCTCTTCTCAATCCTAGAATGATTCGAGCCCGAGAAGCTTACAAGAAGTATAGGAGTGGCTTATGGGAGCAGAAAGGCTGCATGGCCGAGTGATTGGGTAACTCATCCTGTGCAGGCGGACGTTTTCATATTCTAGTAGCTGCAACCAAGCGAATCAGAGCAGAGAACTCTCACATGCATTGATCCTACGCACACGCTCAACCTTCCTGATTAAGCTTACCTTAGTGTGTGGCGTGGTATGGGAAAGGGGATAGCCCGAAGAGGAATCTCACCGCTTTGGACCCTATTCCGCATTTGACAACCACCCACCCTTGCAAACTCGTATCCTGCGAGCGTTACAAAGTACCACAGGTTCAAGTATAAAAGGCGATATCATTGTCAGGTACCGGGAGTAGAAACACCAACTTCGACCCTGTCTGGTGAACACTCCACTAAAGCGCTTGAACGTCTTCTTCACAATGCAGTCTTCGATTCTCTTCACACTCCTCGCTGCTGGCACCACTTCTGTGGCTTACACCATTCCCGCCAATCTTCAAGCAATTTACAATGCCCACAAGGTCTGGATTGCTTTGCAGATTCGTCGATTAACAGATCAAATGAGGCAACCACTAACATTAATGTATTAGGCCGGCACGTGCGCCAAACCACTCTCAGGAACCTCTTCGTCTGGAGCTGTCTTCTGCGGAGATATACCGAATGCCATCTTTCTCAAGGGGAGTTCTGGAAACTATGACAACATGGACGTCGATTGCGACGGCGCCGACGACAAAGCCGGCGATTGCTCCAATGACCCTACTGGCTTTGGCGAGACGGCATTTAAAGACACTGTGCAGTCATATGGCATCCCGGATCTAAACGCAAACATTCACCCCTATGTGGTTGTTAATGAGAAGCCCTTCTTTGACGGCCAGCAGTATATAAAGCCCTTGAGTGTCATGGCTGTCGTCTGCAACAATCAAGTGGTGAGTCACATGCTGGCTGCCTCTTCTAAATCATAGACCTTCTACAGCGATATGTCCCCTGCCTCGTGCCCCTTTAGTAAGCTTCACTAACTAGCCCAAACTCCTAGTGGTATGGTATCTGGGGCGACACCAATACAGAGCCAACAACCGGAGAGGCATCAATCTCACTTGCTCAACTGTGTTTTCCCAATGAGCATCTTAACGGCGACTTTGGACATGGGGCAAAAGATGTGCTTTACATCGGCTTCATCGGTGATGATACAGTACCAGGCAAAAACGGTGCGAAGTGGAATGCCCAGAATGTCTCAGAGTTTGAAGCCAGCATCAAGTCTTTGGGAGACCGACTTGTCCAGGGTCTCGGCGGGGACAACGGCGGCACCACGCCTCCTCCCACGACCTGTTCCTGGGAGGGCCACTGCATCGGTGCCTCGTGCAGCTCCGACGATGACTGCTCGGACGATTATGTTTGCTCCAGTGGCAAGTGTGCTGCGAATAGTGGGAGTGTAACTCCTCCCCCTCCTCCCCCCACCAGCTGCTCTTGGGAGGGACACTGCATTGGCGCCGCATGTGGCTCCGATGATGACTGCTCTGATGATTACGTTTGCAGGAGTGGCAAGTGCTCCGCAGATTAATGAGTCCCAAGATCACAAGTAGATGTATGCGCTATCAATTCAGCTGTGGGTTTACCGCTCGAGGAATGATAATCCTCAGTCAGTGGCATATGTCACAACGATCGGCAGTAGGAGTGCTCTTGTCGGTACTGATTTCCAAGATCCCAGCAGGTAGTTAAACTGAAGAGATCGCCGTGCTGTACGTGGCAATGTCAGGTCAGACTAAGTAGGTAGCTTAAGACGACATTGGGTGAGGTTATGCTTACATGCTGACTACGCTTACCTAGATTGTGATATCGAGTTTGGAACTGAGACGATCAAGATAGGTAGACATACTGGACAGTGTAGACCACATATCCGGCGGACAATGCAGCGTGGTCGTCTAGCGAAACTACTAGATCCAACTTCACTTAATAAGTGTGTAGTAAACACTACTTCATTTTAGCTGAGACTTATGAATCATGGAAATGACTCACAGTGGCGTTTACTGGACGAGAAAAAACCATCTCAAATAAGTAATTAATGAGTCAATATCAATCTTGTCATTTCACACTGCGACACGCTACCCGAAAGTGCAAGCGATGCGTGTCACGGGGCAAGATCTAGGCGGCGTCCCGGAGCAACCCGGTTGATCTGGCTCGAGGTGAGTGTATAAGTAGGACGATTTTTTTCCACTCACTCATGACATCTCATATTCTAGTATTTTTCAAGAAATCCGTGCTCCTCGATACATTCCCTTGTAAACCACTTCTCCGTTAAAATCACTTGCCCTTTCAATGAGAGCAACCGCCAACGAGCAAATGACAGAAACAGCCGGAGATACATGCCCATCTCTGTGTAGGCTATGCAACATAGCATTGTTTGGAGCAAATGAATGGCGACAACACGCAAAGAGCGATCTACAGTATGCCTTACAGCGATGGATTACAGCGATGGAAAAAAACACGTGTGATACTAATCTTTCCTGCCTTGTTAGTGTCTACAGCCTTCGGATGAGAATTGCGGAACCTGGAACTGTCGTATTGCCCTTGGCATCGTCAAGGGGAGGAGTGGCTGTTGAGGCGGATGGCGCTTCTCAACACGACGACAACACCGACAATGTCGCCTCAGAGCACTCGGAGATTCCGACATTTGATCCCGCACAATGTCTCTTCTGCGGCGCGCGCAATGGTACCTTTCACAATAATTTTGCTCACATGTCTAGCAAGCATAGCTTCGCCATACCATATCAAGATTGCTTGATAGTCAAGCTCGATGCACTCCTTAGACACCTGCACCTTGTTATTTACGGATATGGCGAATGCATCCTATGCGCCACACGCCGCGGTACTGTTGAAGCCATTCAGCATCATATGATGGCAAAGGGTCATTGCCGCTTCGACATCGTCTCGGATATTACAGGGTTCTACAATATTCCTGTGCTTGGATTTCGAGCTGCTGGAGAGTTACTACGATTGTCAACAGGGAAGGTGATTAGCCGCCGTGCATCTTCAGCAGGCGGAGCTCTTCTAAGAAGGGGACATTCTCTGAGAGAGAGTCGCCACCTAAAGACTAATGTCTCACCGCCAGCAACACCCTCACGTTTCTCAAATGTTATTCTGGACAGGACCAATGATATCACAGCACCCTCTTGTACCCAGCTCTCGAAATTATCCCGCAGCGATCAACAACGCCTGGCTCATTTGTCTAACCACGAACTGCAATCGCTGCTTCTCACAAGTGCGAGAAATATCAACCAATTAAAGCGAAAAGAGAAAGACACACAGCTAAAGCTAGAGATAGCAGGAAACACAACTCTAACAAAGCACTTTAGGATGGATACATCTAAGCGATTCAGAGGCCTTTGGGGCTAGGTTGAGGGTATAATCTATATAACAGTAAACATTTCTTAGCTAGATAATCAAGTTACTGCTAGAGCTCATCTATGCACTATTTAGCTATTCACGTACCTAGACGTCTCTGACTAATGTGGACTATGCATGTTGCATAAAGCTTGCTCTCCTAGGACATTTAGGACTTTCCCTTTACACTACTTCCTTCTACTTACATTCTGCTGACCTTTATTAATACTACTGTTGCAGTTCTCTTAGGCGGTGCGCGTTAGCCCGTTGTTGTTCTCTTTTGCGTTATGGAGTCAGTCTAGGTACTGCTGCTAGCAGCCATGCTTCCCTCGGACTGCTCTTTCGGAACATTGTTTAGAAGCCGGGATGGTCAAGATGGCACATGCGGCTCACTGAAGGTGCTCCAAACGACTCGCTTGCGATAAGGAATATCCAGGAAACTTCCAAGCAACACTTACCACCAGTCCAATGTCGCTATAGGGGAACAGGGTTCTAGCAGAGCAGCGAGAGCGAGGAGGAGCTCTGTAGAGGTAACTTATGCAGAAGGGTTATTTATTCCTTATGAAACTGTAAAGTATATTATATAACATCAGCATTACAATCACCTGCCGTTACTAGAATTTCTCAGGACTTGAAAATCTTCCAGAAGTGCCCCTGGGCGGAAATACCAGCACTTCTATAGATTGGATCCATAATAAAAACCAATAATTCCGATTTAGCGCTCCCAGCTGAGCGAACAACGCTGACTTGGGTCCCGAAACCAGTGCCTTATTAGTTAGGAGCATTGCTTAGCTGCATTCCCAGCTCGTTAGTCTATTCGGACACGTCTGAAGGTGGATTCGATAAGAGAGAGCTGAACCACTAGACAGTGAGAACTCTAGATCATAGGAGCTACTAGCAAGATATGGCTGATCGCCCTCAGGGGCAAGGCAATAAGCTAGTCTTGTCTACTGTAGTATATAAAGACAGACTTTGTATATATATAAGGACGTACCTATCATTGGAGCAAATGCTTCCTAAATACGTTGCCAAGTCTGTCAATCACCTATTCGAATGTTGCCCCAGATGAAGTATCTGTCAGCGTCTCTAGCAGTCTTGCTAGCAGCGTCTCCTCTCGCTCAAGCAACGCCAGCCCGTGGTTGTCGCGCATCTTGCAATGCAGCAGACAATCTTATTCGTTTGCTCCGCTCACCGTCCAATTTGCCAGAAGCACTGCCGTTTTGCAGCGAGTATCTCCAATTACCCGCTTCAACCATCACAGTCGGGACAGTGACGCCGACAACTACCGCATACTCTACAATCTTCACCAATGTGTTACCGACGATCACGATTGCCGCAGAACATGTCGACACGGTGATTCCCACCCGGACCGTAACGGTCACAAACGTACACACCGAAACGAGTATCGTGACCGATACATCTCTCACGACAGAGCTTGTCACCGTAACTGCCGCAGCGGTACAGCAACGTGCGGTCTCAACGCCCCTCTCGCAACAAATCACTCAGTCATATGGCTCGAGCAGGATATCGAGCGGTTGTGCTTGTCTGACAATTCCTATCTCAACAATTTCGGTGTCCGTGACAGGACAGACAGTCACGATCACAGAAACGGCCAAATTGACGACAACGGAACCCGAAGCTACGCAAATCCTTACATCGTATCGAACCACCACTCTAGCCGAGGTTGTCGAGACTACGACAATTGACAGCACAACTACTATTCCCGCGACTACGACTCAAGTATCAGTAGTCACATCTACTGTCACAGCCACTGCTGCTCCGTCTGCGACTGGATACTTCTACATCAGGAACGTGCGCCCAGCAGCCGACAACTTCTTCACGGGCAATTTCCTCCTGAACCGCGATTTCAGCGCAACCAACAAGGTCCAGGCTGCCACAATTGCCGGAGCCAATACTACAGCTCCTCGCATGGGTCTCACTCCTGAGGGCTACCTCACCATCATGCAATCCCGAGTAGCTGCCTCTGCCGCCACTGGCACAGAAGACCAGACTTGGGTCGCCTACGTTCATAGCAACATGAACAGCGAGCCCCTCGCTTTCGACAAATTGTCTAACGTCCAGGCGTGCTCAACCTGCCAACCGCTCAAGTTCCAGATCAGCCAAGAGTCTGACGGATTGTATATCAACTTTGCAAACGAGGGATCGAGAGCCATCTACATCTGCGGTCCTAATTCTAGCGCTGGTGTTGCCTTTTATGCATTCTGGACGGGCCTTACAGGACCTCCAACATCAAGCTGTTTCTTACAGCGGATATACGAGTCAAAGGAGGGAGTAGCTGGGCCAACGTTTGGTACGCCAACTCATGGATAAATCTATAGATATATTATACTTAAGTAGTCCTTTTTTTACTATAGTAGTCTATGCCTATATAAATATTATTATGCCTATACTACTAGTCTTATAACTACATACCTATTTAAAGTATAAGCTTATAGTATATCCTGCAGTTTATATTATATTATTAAGAGTTTATTAATTTTAACTACTAAGAGTTATTTTAAAGTAAAGGTAGTAGTAGTAAAGATAAAGGCAGTAGTAAAGTTAAAAGCAGTAATAAAAGTAAAGAAAGTAGTAAAGGCAGTAGTAAAGGTAAAAGCAGTAGTAAAGGTAAAAGTAATAGTAAAGGTAAAGGCAGTAGTAAAGGTAAAGGCAGTAGTAAAGGCAGTAATAGTAATAGTAAAAGTAGTATTTATAATAAAGGCAGAGATAGTAATAATAAAAGTAAAGGCAGTAGTTTAATAAAAGTCCTCCTATTTATATTATAATAAATTCCTATTTAAACTATAGTAGTTTATACTTATATTAAAATTATTATACTTATACTACTATTTCTATAACTATATACCTATTTATAATATAAGCTTATAGTATATTTTATAGTTTATATTATAATACTAAGACTTTATTAATTTTAACTATTTTTTTACTTAAGTCTTAAATCTTAATATTATAAATATTAGTATTATAAAAATAAAGCACTTAAAGCTTAAAGGCTATTATCTTAATATATTAATATTTTTAAAGTTATTTTAAAATACTAGTTTTATAAAGATTTATACTTTTTTTAGCTTATTAGTATTAAATATATTAAAGGTATTACTAGTACTAAAGGCAGTAGAATTTAATAGTAATAACTTTAATAATAAGAATTTTAATATATTAAAAATAATAGTAATAATAAAGCTAGTAGTAATAAAGCTAGTAGCTATAGCTATTAAATTTAATAGTAAAGACTTTAATAAAGTTAGATTTAATAACTTAAAGTAGCTATTTATTATATAATTTCTTAATAAGCCTAGCTTTATTAATCTTAAAAATCTAACTTAGCTGCTTTAAGAAAAAATACTATTATTACTATTATTATATATTAAAAAGGTATTAATACTACTGCTTATATATACTATATTATTATAATAAGCCTAGGAGATTATAAAAGCTTTTTAATTAGCTAATAAAATCCTTAAAGTTTCTTAATAAGCTTAAAAGGCTATAAAAGCTATATAATAAGTTATAAAAAATATAAAGTTATTATTAAAGCTATTAAAAACTACTTTAAAGTATTACTTTCTTATTTTACTATTATTAGTAATATATAATATATTTAATAAATTTTTTATATTTTTATAAATCTTTTATTATAATTATAGTCTTACTTTTTATATTAAGTATAGCTTTAACCCTTAGGTTATTAATAGCTAGTAAGTTTAAACTTATTACACTTTTATTTATAACTATACTAGGCCTTAGACTTTAATAAGCACTAGGATTTAATAAAGTTTAACTTAATAAATAAAATGCCTTTATAAAATTATAGCTTTAGTTATTAAATAAGCTAACTAAAAGTAGTTTTATTATATAATTTATATAAATTATAACTATTTACTATTAATTAATTTATTAAGGCATATTATATACTAGTAATAAACCTTAGCTTAATAATAATAAAAAAGAGATTTAATAAAGTATTAAGCTTTACTAATTAAAGAAATAGCCTAGATTTTTTAAAATAGTATAAGTAAGCCTACTTATTTTTAGTAATTTAATATTTATAATAATTATTAAAGAATTAAAATCTAAGCTTTTAATAGCTTATTAATAACCTAGGCCTAAATTAAAAAGCTATAAAATACTAACTTTTATTATTTTATTAAGACTAATAATAATAATAAAATTTAAGGTATTATTTAGTTATATAAATAGTTAAAAATAATATAATAATACTTTCTTAAAGTCTTTAAAATTAATAATATATATAAAACTAACTATTTTAATATATTTTTTTTTAAAGTTATTAGTATTATAAACTAGAAGTTAATAGCTAATTTTACTTTTAATTTAATTAATATAAAAAAGCAGAATAAATACTAGTAGCTATATAAAAAGCTAAAGGCTATTTAATAAAAGCTTTATATTTTAATACTATTTATAATTATTATAAATAAGAAAAATACACTTAAAAATACTTTTAGTAATATATTTTCTTTATTATAGTAATAACTTTATATTTACTATATAAATATAAATATCTTAGCCTAAATCTATATATATTAAAAAAGTAATTATTAAAAGACTAGTCTTATAACTACTATAAGTAAGTATTTATATATAAATATATATACTTAAAAAAAAAAAGTATATTTCTTATATACTTTTTACTTATTATATACTTAGCTAGGTATCTTAGTTAGGCGCAGCGTTACTTTTACTT